TATTTTTACTTTTTTATTTTTTTTTAAATATAGTTCACAATATTATTTTGTATTAGATTCAGGTGTACAGCATAGTGGTTAAATAATCATACTTTACAAAGTCATCCCTCTGATAATTCCAGTACCCACCTGGCACCATAAATTATTACAACATTACTGATTATATTTCCTATGCTGTCAAAATATGCAGAGTTTATAAAGCAAAATACATAACAGAATTGTACAGGGGGAAGGACGTGGCTGAAACAAATATGTATATATGTCAGTGTGAAGAATACACAAGAGATGGTTAACAAAGGGACTAGGAGCAGTGAGACTTCACTGTGTACTATTTTGCAATGATTTTCTAATTTTGCAAATAGTACCTATTTTTAAAATAAAAATAAAACATGGTTTGAAAAGTACAAGAAAAGTTGAATTATTAATCTCTCACTTCATGTGTGATCACAAATTCCTGACATTAAACCTGTTTAATCAACATTTTAGCTTCCAAATACAAAGGAGTATTTGTTAAATGTCTCTTGATTGCAAACTGTGTGCCTTCCTCCTGTGTGTATTTCAAAGTGCTTTCTAGTGAGAATGGCCAGTAAATGTTAAGCAATTTGAGGTATGGAAAATGGAACTGAGAAATGCTCTGGTTGATACCAGATTAATTAGAGATCCAGGTTCTTAGTCCACATACAGCTAGTTAGGACACTCTGAAAGTTTATTTTTCTATTTACCTTAGTTTCCCTCTTTTTAAAAAAGGGGTGGGGTTGTCTAGAAAGTTCCCTTCTAGCTCTGTTGTTCTGTCTCTGGCCAGCACTTCATAAGATAGCTGTATTCTTCTATTTAGTGTTTTATTGATCAGTAGTACCCAAACTTTGCACACCAACTAGGTTTAAGAGTGTGTGTGTGAATTACACGTCAATCGGTATATTAGTACTAACATTTAGTTCTTTTTTTTTTTTTCTTCCCATGTACGTGTTTAGTTTTGTACATCCCTCAATTTTATGTGCCCACATTTGGAGTACACTCTCTAGAAAAGTATAAAAAAAAAGTCATTACAGTATTGAAAAGAATAATGTACTATTAAAGTATTCTTCTGTAATGAATGCACCTTTGTCAATCAAATAACAAACAGAAAACAAGGTATGTGTGACCATGGTTTGTTGCTCCATGCTGTCATTTTCTGGGGGGAGTTGGATACTTGATGTACTTATCTACCAGGGTATCTCAATTAATATAATTGTATTTTCATAGCCTGCCTTAGAGTTCTCAAAGAAGTATACATCAAATTTTTTTGTTTTGAAAATACAAATCAAATATGAAGACTAGAGTCCTTGGAGGAAGGGAAAACATTAAAATAAAAATAAAACATGGTTTGAAAAGTACAAGAAAAGTTGAATTATTAATCTCTCACTTCATGTGTGATCACAAATTCCTGACATTAAACCTGTTTAATCAACATTTTAGCTTCCAAATACAAAGGAGTATTTGTTCAATTTCTCGATTGCAAATTGTGTGCCTTCCTCCTGTGTGTATTTCAAAGTGCTTTCTAGTGAGAATGGCCAGTAAATGTTAAACAATTTATCTGCTTTATCTGATCTTTGCCAACTTGAAAATAAACAACTTGAGGTCCATGAGGGTACACCAGTCTAATAGTAACCAATGTAAATATTTTTAAAAATCAGCTAAGATTTCTGACTTGTCACACACATATCACATATCAGGCCATGATTTTCTTTAAATATAAACCTATTAATCATAGTTCTGTGTTTAGGCTTTTTAAGTGATTTACTTTTTTTTTTAACTGTTGAGAATGGTACAGATTACCCCATTGCCTCCCTCCACTCGGCTCCCACCCCACCCCAGGCCTTCACTGCACTGATTTACTTTTTAATGAGTAATCTTTTAAGCTAGTTTATAGTTTGGCAGTTTGTTTTGTATCTATAGAAACAATGTCCTTCAGTGGAACTGGGACTGTTTACCTGGGGAGCACTGTGAGAACATGATAGATGTTCAAGTATGGTACAACAGGTTAATCTCTGTGGCTTATTACTGAATGGCGAATGAGTCAGTGGTTGAGGGTGCAAGGAGGGATCAGGAAATGCTACTGAAGTCTGGATGCTGCTGCTATTTACCAAGTCCAGCAAGTCACTTAAATACTAGTTAACACCGTTCATTTTCCTGTTTACTGATGGGATCATAGAGCTATGTGGTTGCATAAAGCACGAAATTTAAATGAGATAATACATGTGATTGTGTCTAGAAGATAGTAGGCATTCAACAAAGGTTAATTCCTTCTTGTCTCCAAGTGGCTCTGATCCTGGGTAGGCTGAAGGACAAGCCAAGCTCAGTTCTGACATTACTCATGGTCTGTATATGCAATGAAGATCTTTATCCCGTGGTACCAGCTTACTAGGTATTGTATTCAGTTCAGTACAGAGGCAGGAGCTTAAAAAAAAAAAAGCAAACACAATTCTTGTACTTTCAGGATAAATGCTCTAGCCACTGTGTTTAGAGGTCCCAACAATAAAACAACTACTCAAATTTCTTTCACAAGGTTGATAATTTCTTTGAAACTGAGGTAAAACTGAAATGCTTTACACCTTTTTTTTTTTTCCAGCGTGCTACAAATGAAAACTGAGGAGAAACTGAATTTGTCTGATGGGAATACAGCAAGTTGCCCTGTGAGCCCCATTAAGATGTGCCTTAATCGTCCCGCTGAATGGAATCTGAATTTGACAGCAGCATCTCTAGCAAGCTGTACAGTTCAAAACCAAAATCCCAAAAGCGAAGAGAAATAGATTACAGTCCTTCTTGCACTATCCTTATTTTGTACGTCAGTATTCTTTCTGCTGAACAATAAGCATTTATCAATTGATCTTGAAATATTTCTAGTCTTGTGATTTGTCTTTATATTAAATCATTAGCATTAATCACTTTGATTATACTCTTTGTATGTTTTTTACATGTTTTACATCATTGTGGAATTTTGCAGTACAGATGGATTTTGATGTTTCTCTTTTTAATGGTATTTTGTGAATTTTTTATGCCCTAAGTTTAAATACATAATTGTCCCGTTTTATTTCTGTGCACAAAATTTTAATATATAATGCATTGCGTGATTTAGAAGAGTGTTAAAGGTTTGTGATGACGACCTGACCCATGAACAGTTGTAAAGCAGGTGGATAACAACTACCTCGAATTGGTGAAAGGCAAAGGTATCTCTTATCATTTTCAAAGTTATATATGTATAGAAAAATTGATCATAGTTGATCAAGTAGCATGTTTCCATTTATAGGAGAATTTGAGCTGATCAGTTTCCTTTCTCTGTACTTTTAAACCTTTAAATTCTGTGGGCTGTGAGGACAATGGCACAATTGCATGTTTACTCTTCAGCAAATTTGTGCCTCGTACAGACAAGAATACTGTTTGGTTTCTGTAAGTTACAGTTTTGAATGAAAAATGGTAAATGGATTTACATCTATTGACTCTATTGTATTTTAGCCATGTATTTTAAAGTGTAAAGGGATGTTTTTAAACATCAGGATATTCCTTACCTTTAACTCTAATAGTGCAAAAGCATAACTTCAGCAATGGCTTATGTGATCGTGTCTAAAACTTGAATAGTAAGAATACTAAAGGTTTGGTGCTTAATTTTTTCCCAGCCAGATAAAGAAAGCTTTGATATGGTGGTCCATGTACATATACAAGAACATGGCTCCTTCCCTTGGATAGCCTGGCTATGAGGTAAATGGAATTCAGTTTGTGGACATTTTAAGTCCTTATTTCTCCCCCTCCCAAATATTTTTAAAACAGGGATTTAACAAAAGTAGATTTACATAAAGAATTTGAAGCACAGGAAAAGACACTGAGCCAACAGAATAGAAATCATCTATTTTTCATTGTTTTATACCACCACATCTGCCTTTTCTTTTTGCTCAATAAGCTTTCTTTGTAACTTTCAGACTCCTTTTATATTTCTGAGTTTTATAAAGCACATATATATGTATGTAATATAGCAATTTGGTTCTAAAAAGCACAACAATCTTAACGTTAGCTCCATCTTAGAACATCACTTTAAATAAATGGCCTCTGGTAAATAAAGCACAATTATTAAAACAGACCCAATGTTAGGAATTTCTATTCTGAATAATAAAGATAAAAGGCAATTATCAGATGGATAAGAAAGGTGTCTTGTTGGGTGTTACGGAAGGAAAGGGGACTGATTTCACACAGTATATTTCATAAGTCAGGCAAGTGCTAACTTCAGAAGATAAATGAAACTGACAATGAAGAAACAGTGCCCATAAATTAGTATATAGAGAACTTCCTGTCACATTCTTTTCCCGCTAGTATTTTTTATCCACAATAAGTATTTTGTTATGCCAAAAACAGAAAGCAAGTCCATGATTAATATGTACATGTGAACATCTCCCCAGCCCAGGAAACAGCATTACAAACAAGCAAACTAGGGCTCTCATATGCAAATATTTTAGGAAGAGAAAGTACCCATTCAAGTAGAATTATCAAAAAAGTTTTTAGTGTAAGAAATGCAAAACAAAATCAAAATAGGAACTATTGAACTTGGACGCTGGGTACTTTGGTTCATCATACTAGTCCTGCTCCCTGGAAGTGAGTGCATTTCTAGCGAGTTTGTGGCACTTCATTTGCCCTTGAGGTGTTGCTTTTTAAATGTGTTCTGAGATTGGAAATAAGTTCATCTGCGTTGGACCTGCCCCATCTAAGTCATAAGCTTCTCAAATGCTAATTACTAGCTAGTTACACTTAAAAGTTGCCCACAATTCCATGATTTAAACATGAGCGTTCATATGCATCATCTGGAAAGCCTATTTATAAAGCAGGCTCCTGGGCACACTTTAGATCACAGAATCCCTGTGAGTGATGCAGAGGGTTTGTGGAGGATACTGAAAGACACTGTCCTGATGTGTCCACACGGGCCAAAGTCCTGTGGAATCACACAGCAGAATGTCCTACGAGGCATCAGGCAAAACTTTTCTAATGTTGACACAAGGATAAGTTTATTAAAACAAAGAATTAAAAATAATTTTAAAGGACTCCACCTCCATCATCTCTTCTAATTTATTTCTTCATTGAGAACTTGCTCCAAGTTAAGTTTACTTTTTGCTAGTGCTGCTGTTTTGGCTCGTCTTGGTAATCTCATCTTCATTTCTGATTTTGGCTCTGGAACTTCGTGATCACTAAACAGATGTTGAAAATACACCAATTTAAATACAAGCTTTAAAAACCATAGTTCATTTATAAATAAAACTTTTTTTTGTTTCTGACTATCATTCTATCAGTGTTTAATTGATATCCTGATTCCACTAAGCTTAAAACTAAAATCTCAACCAAAACCAAAACACTGACTGGCTATCCAACAAACTGATAACATGGAAAACTGAGATAATTTCTTTTTATATCTATGTGGAACCTGGTGTTATACAGAAGGAAAAAAAAAAAACTTTTGTAATGAAGGTTGTCATTAAACAGGGACCAGAACAAATGCCAAAAGAGTTTTTTTGGAGAATATAAGAAATGGGGAAAGAAATTATGTTCTCTGGATTTAGGCAATAAATTTCTAAAACACTGTAAACAACATTTCCCCAAAAGATTTTTAAATTTAGTGAAAACTTATCTAGTTATATATTGAAAATATAGTTTTGCAATGAATAAATCTATGCAAGATAGCTACAACTTTCAGCTTCCAAGAGTGGCCAACTGGCAAAAACCAAATATAAACACTATACCACTAATATATCCAAATTATAGGCAGAAATATTCTACCACTATAAAGATAGAAAACCCAAACCTAAATCTCAAGAGTTGCTAATTCAAGATCAAGAGTCATATACACATAATCATGTAATTAGAAGACTACATGGAAATATAAATTGAAAGAACATATTAAAGATGACTACCTAGTAGTAAATAAAGGCCATGCTAACTAAAAGAAAAAACAAGCCATAGGAAGGCAAATACTCTTGATAATGGAATCCAAGATATAGCTATGTATAGTTTTCACTGATTATCTTATATATTGAGTTTCTGTCACATTAGAAGCACACTATAAGCTTTTTCTACTTCTAGACAAAAAGACCTGTACATACCATACACATGCATAGCATACCTTTCAAAGTCAGCCTCAGAAGTCTGTCGTCTCCTGTTAGTCCTGGCTGAAGCAGTCACTTTTCTCCGTCCTTAAAGACAATTAATCAAAATTATCAGTCGCTTATTGTTTTTAATCTATTTCTGAGCTACCTAAATCCTTTATTTTCCCTCTTTAACATATTTCTTCCTAAGTTCCCAGCTACCTTGATACCAATTATCAACACTATAGAGAAAAGGAACTTAAAGATTAAAAACATTTCTTTTGTAAACTCTGATAATAGGCAAGGGAAAATATAGAAATTAAGTCATAAGGAGGCAAATTTCAGTTAAATGTAATTAGAGGAAAGAAATGTGAAAAATGAGATATAAATAAAAGTACCTCTCTTATGGCAATAGTACAAAGTGTATGGAGAAGCTAATGAAAATTCAAGTAGAAAGGTAGGTATGTTAAGCCCATAACAAGTCCTAAAGAAACAGAATTTTAATCAATAAGGTAATGGCTTCTTGTAGAATATTCAAACACATACATGGCCAGTGCAAATATGTGTTCTAAAGCACATTTCACTATAAATATTAAAGTCTTTATATATTGGGTGTTGCAAAAATTCTACTTGCTAGAAATTTACACAGTTAAGACAAAGTTTGGGCCCTGGCTGGTTTGGCTCAACAGTTACAGCGTCAGCCCGCAGACCGAAGAGTCGAGGGTTTAATTCTTCTGCTCAAGGGAACTTACCTCGGGTTGAGGTGCAATCTCTAGCCTTGGTTGGGGTCATGCGGGAGGCAGCCAATCGATGTGCATATCAATGTTTCTCTTTCTCACTCCCTCTTTTTCTCTCCCTCCCACTCTATCTGAAAATCAATGGAAAAATATCCTTGGTGAGGATTTTTTTTGGCCTGGGATACGCCCCCTTTATGATACAAATAAAACAAAATATATAAAAAGTTTGAGATATCAAAAAAAAAAGTGGTGGTAGTCTAAAGGGACAGTATCTAACTAAAAGCAATCCTTTCAAAACCACATTGTTCAGGATAATCATTTGGTTGAAATTTTTAAATCCTACTTATTCATGTGAGACTTATTGCCCTCCCCCAAACCGTACATATTTGCTTTTAAACTTCTAATGTAATTATCCCCAAGAAAATATCCAACAATATGGGACTAATTTGGGACACCCAGCATTAGCACTTCGTTAATTGACTAGCTACAAAACAATATTATGGCCAGATTCCATTTAGAAAAATATTAAATCTGCACAGAAAAAGGCCTCAAAAAACATTTTCAAGGATTAAAATAATGGTTGGCTTATGGGTGGTATTATTAGTGTTCTTTATACTGGTATGCTTGGATGTATTTTCTGATTTTCTGTAATAAGCATGCATTGCTTTTGTAATAAGAAAATAATAAAACAATAAAGAGATCTTGAATTATAGATTTTTTCCCCAAGCAATCCCCTAATAGTGAACATTTACATGATTCCAACAAGTCCCCTATTGTTGGATATCCCTTGGGAAATAAATTGTGTTGGGGAAATATGAACTAATATGAGAAAAAGGAAAACAGAAGCCCAGAAAAATACTAGGCAGATAAAAGAGACAAAGTTGCTTAACCATATAATGGATAGAACACAAATACTGTAATACAAAATTATCACTGATCATTTGCTAGTGAAAATTAATTTAATCCAAATAATTCTTTGCAGTATGATCTTTGGCATCATATTTCAAACAAAAGCACTTGAAGCAACACTGATGTAATCTTTTAGACAAGAAAGCAAAAGCGAATTATCAGCTGAAAGAATTAAAAAGTAAAGAATACCTAAGACATTTGTCCCTAAGGAAACAAAGATAAAGAAACTTGCAAAGTAGTTCATTTTTCCAAAATCAAAAAGTTTTATTACAAAACTAGTCAATCCATGTACTACCTCTGTCAGTCTTTCGCTGAGTGGATTTTGATGCTCGGGTTGCTTTTACATTCTTGAGAGGAGTTATATATACTTCTTCATCCTTTTCTAGTAAAGGAATAATGCAAAACAATGTAAATAAAAAATGAAATATTTTAAGTGGTCTAAGTCAAGTTTTCATAAAATAGAAATGACAACCAGTCCCATTAGCAGCTACTAAAAATTTATCCTAAATCAGTGTTCCAAAAAATGTGAATAGTGGCAAGTAAGCAAGCAAAACTCCTGGTCACGTGGTGAGAAGTGTACACCAAAAAATTGTAAAAGTAGAATAAACACTTAGTAGTTATATACTTCCCCAAGGTGATTAATTAGAAAAATTTCCCTTTCATTTCTTAAACCCAACCAAACACATGTTATAGGAGAAGAAAAATGTGTTTCAGTAACGATGACAAGGACAGAATCTCATAAATATTCAGGTCAGTGTGCGGTTACCCTCTTCATTTTCACCAACAGCCGGCGTGCTGGCGTCCTGTGCTGCTGCAGCTTGGTCACCACGATCGTTATTTCCTCTTTCTAACTGAATCTTGATTTTCTCCAAAGCTCTCAGACAGATCCTATCTTTTACTTGCTATAATAGAAAATGAACATTTTAAAAATATAGCATTTTATAATCTTTCAAGAAAGCTATATATACTGATAAGTTGTTTTAAAATATTCTAAAATGCTATTAAATTTATGAAAAATACTTATTTCAATGAGCAAAGTCACCGTATACTAACATATATAATACAACCATGTAAATTCTACTTTTATAAAAATATATACATAGTAAGAGTAATTAGAAACTACTTTACCTCCAGAACCTCATTCAACAGAACCAAAAGATCTTTAGCAACACTGGTACTGAGTTCTAAAGAACTCAAGGCTTTTGTATAGACCCGAATTTCTGGTGAACATGGACATGTTAAGATCTCATTGCAAATTTTTATAGCCAAATTGTCATGAACTGTTAAGGCCTATAAAATCAAGAGAAAAATCTTTGTAAATTGAAAATGGTATGATTACAATACAGTCCTATACACCTAACAAATATTTCCAACTAATTATCTTGCTATCATCCCAAATGCAAAATGTCTAAAACCAAATTGAACATATTCCTCCTAAAACAAGCTCCCCGCAACTTCTGGTAGTGGATGCTGTGATACAGGACAGAGCGGTCCCCTTTACTATACTGAAGCATTTATATTCCTGCTACTATGAGGTAAAAGTTCCCACATTCAATGACTGGTAGGTATACGGATGTAATGGCCCAGCTTCGTCTCAATTCTGCATAACTCAAAGGAGTACAGTATCCCAGTTATGAAGCTTCCTATAGGATCATCTGGGACCATCAGGTGTCATGAGAGTTCAAATTCCTCCTCTGCCCTAACCTATTTCCCTCACTCTTCCAAGATGTTGATCATGAGAGTACTCCCCAATTGAATGATGTCAACATCATCTTTGAGGTCTTCTCGATTGCACTTAGAGCCTTAGAGTTGTCACGGATTCCTCCACCTTCCTTTGCCTCTCAAAGCTCTTTCTTCTAGGCTTTATACCCCATAATTATTTTTCTCCAACAATTACTACGACGCTTTACTTTCTACTTTCTATTATTCCTTTTCTACAAGCTTTTATATCCTAATTATACATTTTTAACTGCTGCCTTTATTAATTTTGTCTCTATTCCTCTCACCAATTCACCTCAATAAAGACACTAACCACTAAATTGATGTGTCCAGTAAGTAACTGATATACCATTAAGCTTTCATTATACACTCTGCATAGTTACTCACTGCAAATAAGGTCAACTCCAAATTCCTTACCCCAATGTTCTGCCCAACAGGAGCCATTCAGGATCCTTAGCCAGAAAGACCCTTTCCATAGTTCACAAACGCACAAACTGCTACGTTAATCATTCTTACTGAAAAGTCTTTTACTCTCTACCCAAGCCGAACTCCCCAAATCCCAACAACGCCTAACTGAACTTACTCAATAAGTTTAAAACTAGTAATGGCTATACTTATCACCCTACCACACAAACCTTGCCCTCTTCCAAAGCCCTAAAGCACTTAGTGCTGTATCACTGACCCTTACTGTATTTTGCCTGATATGCTCCATAATCTTCTTTCCAATAACATGTAATATAGTGACTTGAACTGTGTATACAGTTATTACATATTAATTAAAATAAGAAAGCAATACAGTTGATTAATGAACAACGCAGTGGGGTTAAGAGCACCGATGCTCAGTGCAGTCAAAAATCTGCATATAGCCCTGGCCGGTTTAGCTCAGCGGTTAGAGCGTCGGCCTGCGGTCCGGAGAGACCCAGGTTTGGTTCCCGCTAAGGGCACATACCTCGGTTGCAGTTTGTCCCGGCCCTGGTTGGTCGTGCGGGTGGCAGCCACTCGGTGTGTCCCTTTCACATCGATGTTTCTCTCTCTCTCTTCCTCTCTCTCCCTCCCACTCTGTCTGAACAAAAAATGGAAAAGTGTCCTCGGATGAGGATAAAAAAATAAATTAAAAAAATCTGCATATAATTTTGACTCCTCAAAAACTTAACTAGAATTACCTCTCAGCTGCAACGAATTCATTCCAGGAACCCTCTGCAATACCAGACCAACAGATACTCAAGTCCCTGACATAAAATGGCACAGACAATGCATACAGTCAGCCCTCCACATCCACGGATTCCAAACTGAGAATCAAAAATACTGTTTCAATCTGTAGTTGGTTAAAACCACAGATGAGAAACCTAAGAATACAGAAGCTGTATAAATTTATTGAAAAAAATCTATAAGTGGACCCACACAGTTCAAACCCATGTTGTTCAAGGGTCAACTGTACTGTAATCAGCTGGTACCTGAAATTAATAACACATTTATTTCCAATATAGTGACAAGTTTGATCAAATGATATTAAGGATTACAAACCCAGATAAAACTTAATTTAGGGGACAGTTTTAAGTTAACTTATCTTTGAATTAAAAACAAAAATAAGCTTGAGGCAAGTTTCGTTCTTTGAATTCTTCCTCCTATCAGAAATAGAGCAGGTAAGCCATTAGAAGACTTAATGAGGCCTAAATAACCTAAGTCATTATTCAGAAGGATTAACAGCCAGTAGTAGGTGGGGAGTGGGTACTGAGGGTGATTCATTTTTGGTAAGTTTTCCGTAGCAAAATTGTTACCATTGGTTACCTTTTCCCCCCATTTCCCAAAGTACCTTTTTTTCTTACTCTGTGTTATGCACTACCACATAAACCAGAAATCACAAGATCAAGTTGTAGCTTCTATGTCAAGGAATCTATCAGAGGGATTTTACAAAAACAAAATATAGCGGACCTGTATCCTAAGTCATCAGCCTTACCCTCCACAGGCTAACACCCTCACTCACTTGGTAATCTTGGGAGTTCTTGGCCTGAGGATGTAATCCACTTGGTCTTGTTAAATCTACAAGTAATTCGGCAACATTAGTGGTATCTATTTCAGCCAAAGGAGAAGATGCAGGGGCATTGGCCAGTGTTTGCAGAGTTGGGAAAAAGGCTTCTTCCAAACATTCCTGATTAGTCCTATTGAAAAACAATTTGAAAGTATACTGGTAAAGAAAAAGCATTTATCATTCTTAAAAACATACATTATGAATAAAATTCACGCCATCAAAACACAATACATTTTCATCTGGGAAAGAACCAAATAATTCAGGTAGATAAAAATCTAAATTAGTTCTTCTCATTTCATCATTTACCATTGAAGAAAAAGAATAAACAACAAAACACTACTCTATGACTCCTAGGGAGTATAAATTTAACATCAAATCAGATTTGATTCATTGATATGACTAAGTAAATACCTGCTTGCATACGCAAACATGGGGAAGAACACGCCTAGACAATGTCGAAGTCGAACATCCTCTTCTGTCACAGGATTGTACCATAACAAGATAAGACGAGACAGAATCCTGCTGCTGACCAAAAGCCCAGAGAACATCAGCTTGGCTAGTCCTTCTGCAGCTCCTGTCCTGAGTTCAGACACCTAATAAAAATGACTTGCATTAAAAAAATTTTTTAATTTATATTTCCTTTTTAAACCTCAAAACATAGCCTGTCCTATAATTTTTTTATATGAACTATCCAAAAATCACTCGTGCAATGAATCTGTTAAAGGCACATAAGATTTTGTTTCCCCTTTTAAGTTCTGGCTATGTAACAAATTATTACTCTAGCTATTAAAACTTCAATTACCTTAAAATTCTTTAGAAGAAGCAAAAGGCCTTTTAAATGTGTGAAACCAAAAATCATTATGTATTAAATGTTTATCATGGCGCTAAAATATAAAACAATGCTTAGTAAAGGTCCCAGCCATCAGAGGAAGGTACCAACTGAATAGGCACCTTATCCCCATTTTACAGATGTGGAAACAGGCTAAAAACTCAAAATTTTAAAAAGCCAATCTCTACCTTTTGGATGGAGTTTACTGATATGAACAGACATTGACAGGACTGCAGGTAGAAATGAACACTCTACAAGTGTAACTGCAGACTTCAATGCTCTACTTAATGTAACTGATAGAACTGGACAGATCAGTAACAAAATAGAGCACTTAACACTATAAACCAAAAAGACCTACCAAAAAGACACTCCACTCAACAGCAGCAGAATACACATTCTTCTCAAGTACATGTGGAACATTCTCAAGGATAAACCCTATGTTAGGCCCAAAACAAGTCTCAATAAATTTATAAAGGATTAAATCATAAACTATCTTCTCCAGTCACAAGGCAATACACCTGGAAAGCAGTTAAGAGAACTGGAAAATTCAAACATATGTAAATTAAATAATACATTCTTCTTACACAACAGTGGGTCAAAGAAGAAATCAAAAGGGAAATTAGAAAATACTCAAGATAAATGAATATGAAAACACAACAAAGTAAAAGTTATTGGGTACAGCAAAAGCAAGTGATAAGGGATATATATAAAGCAATAAATGCCTACATTTAAAAAAAACTCAAATTAATAACTTAACTTTACACCTTAAGGAACTAAAAATAAAGAGCAAACTAAACCCAAAGAAGGAAGAAAGAAAAAACAAAACAAAACGATCACAGAACAAGTAAACAAAATAGAAAAGGTTACTAATAAAGTCAATGAAAACAAAAGTCTGTTCTTTGAAAAGATGAACACGTTTGAAAAACCTTCGGCTAGACTGACGAAAAAGAGAAGATGCAAATAAATAAAACCAGAATTGAAAGTGGGGACATTACAACTGGCCTTACAGAAATAAAAGGATTGTAAGAGTATACTATGAACAATTAAACACCAACAAATTAAATACTCTAGATGAAATGGATAATTTCCTGGAAACACACAAATTACCAAACTATTCAAGAAATATAAAATCTCAACAGGCCTATATAGATAAATAGTTTGAAAAGTAATCAGAAGCCTCCCAAAAAGGAAAGTCCAAGAACAGATGTCTTCATTGGCAAATTCTAACACTTAAAGAAGTAACACCATCACCCTGGCCAGTTTGGCTCAGCGGTTGGAGCGTCAGCCTGTGGTCCAGAGAGACCCGGGTTCGGTTCCCGCTAAGGGCGCATACCTTGGTTGCAGTTTGTCCCCTGGCCCTGGTTGGTCATGCGGGAGGCAGCCACTCGATGTGTCCCTTTCACATCGATCTCTTCTCTCTCTCCCTCTTTCTCTCTCTCCCTCTCCCTCTCCCTCCCTCCCTCCCACTCTATCTGAACAAAAAATGGAAAAATGCCCTTGGGTGAGGATAAAAAAAAAAAAAGTAACACCATCAATCTTTTTCAGTCTTCCAATAAATAGAAAGAAGAAACAATTCCTAACTCAGTTTATCAGTAGTACCCTGAAACCAAAGCCAAATAAAGGCAACACAAGAAAACTACAGACCAATTTTCCTTATGAAGACCAGGTAAAAATCTTCAGCAAGCCCTGTCTGGTTTAGCTCAGTGGTAGAGCATCGGCCAGCAGACCAATGAATCGCAGGTTCAATTCTGATCAAGGGCACTTACCTCGACTGCAATTCGTCCCTGGCCCTGGTCTGGGTCCTGTGGGAGGCAACCAGTCGATGTGTCCCTCTCACATAGATGTTTCCCTCTCTCTCCCTTTCTTTCCCTCTCTCTCCCTCCCACTCTATCTGAAGATAAATAGAAAAATATCCTCAGGTGAGAATTGGAAAAAAAAAAAAACTTCAACAAAATACTAGCCAACTGATTCCAACAACATATTAAAAAGATTATACACCATAACCAAGTGGGATTTATCCCAAGAATGTAAGGGTGGTTCAACATAAGAAAAATCAAGCAATTTAATGTACCACACATCAATAACATAGAAAAAAACACACATGATCACTCACATCAGTTGATATAAAGCATTTTATAAAATTAAACATGCTTTCATAATAAAAAATATATATAAAGAGAAGAACAGAAGGAAACTTCATCAAAATGATGAAGGCCATTTTTGAAGACTCCACATCATACTCCATGGTAAGGACTAAAAAGTTTTCCCCTAAAATAATAAACTAGACAAGGTTGCCTGCTTAACCACCACTGTTCAACACTACTGGAAGTTCCAGACAGAGCAATTAGGCACAAATAATAAATACAATACATCCAAATTGGAAAGACAATTAAAACAGTCTCATCACAGATGAAACAATCTTATACAGAGAAAATCGCAAAGAATCCACGCACATAAAAATGTTATAAGAGCTAATAAATAAATACAACAAAGTAGCAGGTTACAAAATCAAATTAACACACATAAGTTGAATTTGTATACCACATCAATGAAGAATCCAAAAAAGGATTTTAAGAAAACAATTACTTTTACAATAGCATCCAAAATAAAATACATTGGAATAAATTTAACCAAGGAAGTAACAAACTTGTACCTTGAAATATATAAAACATTTCTGACAGAAATTAAAGATGACCTAAAAAAAACAAAGAAAAGACATCTAGTTCATGGGTTAGAGGACTTAACATTGATAAGATGGCAATACTATCCAATTTGATCTACATATTTAACTCAATCCCCATCAAAATTCAAATGGACTTTTTAGCACAAATGGAAAAGCCAATCCTCAAATTCATAAGGAATTGCAGAGGACCCCAAATAGCTAAACAATATTGAAGAATGAACAAAATTGAAGAATGCAACTCCCCAATTTAAAAGTTTACTGTGAAGTTAATCAAAACAGTCTGGTAAAGGCATAAACAAAGACATAGAATTGAGAGTCCCGAAATAAACTCATCACATGTGGTCAAACGATTCTCAATAATGGTGCTGGGACAATTAATTGCATGTCCACAGGCAAAACAATGAAGCGAACCTCTACATCACACCACATTCGAATATTAACTAAAACTGTATCAACAGCCTAAATAAAAAGTTAAAGGAATAAAACGCTTCGGATAAAACACAGGGACAAATCTTCATGACTTGGATTTGGCAATATATTCTTCGATATCACACCAACAACACACGTAACAAAGAAAAATTAGTCTTCATCAACATTTAAAAAATTTTACATACCTAAAGGTATTAAGGAAGTAAAGAGAAAATATTTGCTTATCATATTTATCTGCTAAGGATCTACTACCTAGTACACATAAAAAACTCCAAAAGGAAAACCTAATTAAAAAATAGACAAAGGACTTAAATAGACATTTCTCCAAATAAGATACACAAATAGCCAACAAGCACATGAAGATATTCATCATTAGTCATAGGGAAATGCAATTCAAAACCACAATGAGGTATCACTTTAATCTACTAAAATGGCTAAACCTTTTTTAAATGGAAAAAAATTGAAACCCATGTACAGTTTGGCATAGCCTCAAAGATTTAAGCAAACAAATCACAGTATGAAACCATAAAACTCCTAGAAAGAAACTGGGGATAAGCTCCTTGACATAGGTATTGGGAATAATTTTTTGGATGTGACCCCAAAAGCAAAGAAAACAAAAGTAACAAACACGTGGTTCTATAACAAACTGAAAAGCTTCTGCACAGCAAAGGAAACCATCAACAAAATGAAACGGTAACCTATGAAATTAGAGAAGATATTTGCAAATTACATAACTGATAAGAGGTTAATATCCAAAATATATAAAGAACTCATGGAACTCACTAGCCCCTCCACCAAAAAATAATCCAACCAAAAACACAGGCAGAGGCCCTGGCCAGCGTGGCATAGTGTTAGTGTCAGCCCAAACACTGAAGGGTCACGAGTTTGATTCCCAGTCAAGGGCACATACCTGGCTTACAGGTTCCACGCCCCACCCCCACCCCCACCAGTTGATGTGTCTCTCTCACTTCGATGTTTCTCTTTCTTAAAAAAAAAAAATCAATGGAAAAAATATCCTTGGGTGAGAATTAATAATAAGTAAGTAAAAATGGGCAGAGGAACTGAACAGACATTTTTCAAAGACACACAAATAGCCAACAGATTTATGAAAAGGTGCTCAACATCAGGAATCATCAGGGAAATGTAAATCAATACCACAATGAGATACTACCTCATACCTGTTAGTGGCTATCATCAAAAAGACAAGAATTAACAAGTGGTGAGATTATGAAGAAAAGGGAACCCTTTGCACTTTTGGTGGGAATGTAAACTGGTGTAGCCACTATTAAAATAAGTATAGAGGTTCCTTAAAAAATTACCAAAGGATCCAGCAATCCCACTTCTGAGTATATCGCCAAAGGAAAGGATCTCAAAGAGATATCTACACTTCTACGTTCACTGAAACATTATTTACAATAGCCAAGCTATGAAAATAACCTAAGTGTCCATCAGTGGATAAATGGATAAAGCAGATGGGTGTGTGTGTGTGTGTGTGTGTGTGCGCGCGCGCACGCGCGCAACAGAATATAGTGCAGCCATTAAAAAAGAAGGTGATCCTGCCATTTGCAACATGGAAAGATCCTAAAGACATTATGTTAAGTGAATAGCCAGACAAAGAAAAACAAATACTGCATGGTGTCACTCATATGTGAAATCTAAAAAAAAGGTCAAACTCATAGAAACAGAGTAAAAAAGTGGTTGTCAGGGACCAGACGGTGAGGGAATTATTGAGAGGTTGAGAAAAGGGTAGAAACTTTCAGTTATAAGATGACTAAGTTCTATTCCATTTTAAAAAAATAATAAGTTCTGTAGACCTAATAGTCTACATGTTGAACATAGTCTATAACACTGTATTAAATAACTGAAATTTGCTGAGAGTAGAACTTAAATGTTCTCACTAAAATAATACATAAATAAATAAATGAGGTGTTGGATGTGTTAATTAACTAGATTAGGGGGAGACCTAAGAAGAAAAATAATTCCCTTATGAGCCAGTATACCCAAAGAATGGGCACTCAAATCCATGTTCATGCATGTTCATAGCAGAACTATCTAGTCCCAGTAGCCAAAAGGTGGAAACAGCCTGGTTAAATAGCTAAACAAATTGTACTATGTATATAAAATGGAACATAATTATGCTATAAGAAGAAATAAAGTACTGATACAAGCTACAATATGGATGATCCTCAAAGACAAGCTAAGTGAAAGAAAGCACACACAAAGCCACATACTGTATATAATTTCCATTTATATGACATATCTAGAATCGTTAAATCTGTAGAGACAAAATACAAATTGGTAGTTGTCGGGAGGAAAAATAAACAGCAATTGTCTAATGGGTTAGCTTTCCTTTTGAGATAATGAAAATGTTTTTAAAAAGTAAAGTTGGTACCCTGGCCAGTGTTGTTCAGTTAGAGAGCATCAGTCCGTGCGTCTCTCTCTCCACAAGCCTCCCTCCCTTCCACTCTCTCTAAATCAGTGGGAAAAATAACCCCAAGAAGATTAACAATAACAAAAAAAGAAAATTAGAGGTGGTGCTTGTACTACAGTATGACTGTACTAAATGGCAATAAACTGTTCACTTTAAATTTGTTAATTCATGTTATGTCAATTTTACCTCAGTAAAATAATCAATATAAAAAAATTTAATAGAACGTTTCTATATGCTAGAAAATATAGTTCAAGAGTACCGTAAGAAAAAAGATGCAACCCCATACCATACCCATCTTAGACCTTCGACCTACCTAATGTAAAATTAGTTTAATTTATTTCTTAAGACTCTTAGGGGAAAAATATTTTAAGTCATAAATCACAAAGACAGGGAAAAAGATGAAAATCTGATAGCAACCCCTTCCAATTCTCGGTACATGCAATTTGAGAGCAAAACTAGGTATATTGGTCGTGAAAGTGGAATTTAATTATTATATTCAAAAGGCAAAATTTCTAAATGTTGGCCAAGTTTAAAATTCAGCCTAATAATTTTAAGTGTAAAGAACACAAATGTATATGCTGAAAATGACATTTTGGAAGAATAGGGCAGTGATTATTTCTTACCTCACTATCTAAGAAATCAGAAAGAAGTTTCAAAACATTCTTGGCTGTCGCAGTCACTTCTTCAGCTTCTTTTGACTCTTGTTCTTCATCAGTGTTTATTTCTGCATCTTCACTTTGAACAACTTTGGCTTTTTTAGTTGTAAATGGTTCAATCCCAAATGTCATCAGTTGGTCAAAAATTGTCTTTAAAGCACTTATTTTTATTGTCACATCATCAATTTGCAAAACCTAAAATGAAACATCCCCCAACAAAAAGTATAGTAAACTTTTCATTGTTATGCTGCATAAAATTAACATGTATCTTATTTTTTTCTAGTCTAATTTCACAACAGTGTCAAGCCTACATAAAACATTTTTCAAAACAATTAAAATTTCCATTTTTTAGTTATTTTATTTATTTGTACCATAACATTTAGAGTTGTATTTTCTTCCTAAAAAGTTCATCTTCAATTAAAAAAAGGTCTGGAACTAGTGTCAGTCTGAATTATATTATGTTCCTTTTATTTTAAAAAGATAATAATTACATTCTAACAAATAAAAAGCATTCATTAAATATCAAGACTCTCCAAGGTTACCAAGTTTCATTAAAGGTAAACTTTCCTCTAATTAGCTCAATAATTCAGATTCCATTAACAGTGAATTCAATTTTCAATGAACTGGACTGTACTCCTTTATAAAAGGGGGTGGTCTAGAAAGCCCAACAATTTGTATAAGTCTATCCCGATATAAAACTGAATTCCCACATACCAAATTTCAAAACCATGAAAAAAAACAGAGCTGAATATTTCTAATATAAAGGGATTTACTATAATCTTTAATGCACTTAAGTTTTGGTGAGTGATAAACTACTTGGCTATATTGCTTACCTTTAGAATTAATAAAAGTTCACATAAAACTCATTTTATTTCATTTGAACTCAGTATTCACAAACATTTTTAATTTAAAAAAAATAGTTACTTTATTCAGGCAAATATTAATAACCAGTCCCTGAAAAAAGTAAGTTTAGAGATCAAAGTTATTTAAATTAGGAAAAAAGAAAACTAATTCTTTAAAACGTTAATTCTATGACAAGGCTGCTCTTGACTGGTTTGATTTGAAAGAAGGCAAAATTGTAGAATGGTCTTGCTAAGAAACATTCATCTTTCACATCAACATGACTTTGACAATTCCTTTCACTACAGAAAAGGACATAGGAGCAAACAGTACCCAGGCTCCCACAGCTCTCTCTCAAGTGGGGATGACTTAGTGCTAAATCACTTCAAAATGCTCCAAGACACTCTTGCGTATTAAATTCATATTGCATTTCTTTTGTCTGAAATGACCAAACCACATATTATTACTGATATTATGTCAGCAAAAGTTAGAAGGATCAAAATTCACATTTCATCTTTAAAGGTCAAGTGAACTTGAATATTTTTGAAAGAGTTCTATGGTGCTTCCTTTGCTGCCGTACTAGAAATTTTATATAAATGTCTACCTCCAGTCCCCTCTGTCAGAATTCCAACTTCAATATAGCAACTTATCATTTTTCAGCAGCATTCACAATGGTACATAGGATATTTTAATGAATGTTTACCTCATTTTTATAGAACCAAAAGGAACCACTTAGTAAGCTAGACAAAAATGAACCCTTCACTATCAAATAGTGTTCTAGTAAGGTTTTTCTTCACTTGAAAAAAAAAGCAATCCCTCTTCTGGGTATCTATCCAAAAATTTTGAAACATTTATTTGCAAAGATATATGTACCCCCTTTTTACTATTCACAGTGACCAAGACATGGAAACAACCGAAGTGTCCTACAATAGACAACTGAATAAATATGTTGTACATATACACAACAGAATACTACTCAGCCATAAGAAAAGATAAAATACTGCCATTTGTAACAACATAAATGGATCTTGAGAATATTATGCTTATGCGAAATAAATCAGAAAAAGTCAAGAACCATATGATTTCACTCAGATGTGGGATATAAAACTGAAAACAACAAGTGAACAAATAAGAAAAACAAAAAACTCACAGACGTAGACAACAGTACTATGGTTACCAGAGGGAAGGGGGGGTAGGAGAGTAGTAAAGGGTAAACGGGGTCAAATATATGGTGACAAAAGAAGATTTGACTTCTAGTGGAGAGCACATGATGCAATATACAGATGATGTATCATAGAATTGTACACCTGAAACTTATATAATTTTATTAATCAATGTTACCCCAATAAATTTAGTTTTTTTTTAATTGTTAAAAACGTAGGATTTTATTTCCTGGGCACCTAAAAGCCAATGCATTTCACAACAGTAAACAGGACTTCCTTTAAAATTACTAGCAGAATCACTGATGCCTACTGCACCATATAGTATTTATTTTCCATTGTGTTTTCTAAAATGTAAGCTCCTATCTTATTTTTTCTAAGCTTAAAATAAATGCTGGGCATATAATATGCACTCAATAAATATTACTATGATTAATTTTAAAAATCCTTAAATAACTGACATTTCGCCCCTTTTCTACAGAGGTGTTTGAATAAGAAAAACCACGAGATAAAAATTGAGTCTCTAAAAAGCATCATCAACTTCAATATGCTCTGGAATAGATTAAATTTAGAGTACTAACATTATCACCACAGATTCTGAGTATTTTAGGAAAAACAATCAAGAGTTTGTCACAAGATCATCCTACCTGCAAGAGTAATACGAAGTGTTTACTTGCAAAATTCTGATTCTGTAGTCCACAGCATCCCAAGCATAAAACAGCCAGATTTCTTACTACAGGATGAACACTTATTATTCCAGGAAGAATCTAAAATGAATTAGAAATTATAAAAAATTTTAGCAGGACAAGAAATTTAAAATCATACATTAAAAACATGATCAAAATAATTTCTATATGATTTTATAGATCTAGATTTCCATATTGTCTACTAACTCAAATAAGTCAATTTTCTATTGAAAAGGTAAATATTAAATTGCTAAAACAGAAGAATACATCCAGAGTGAAATAGTCTGATCATGAGACACCTCCCCTTCTACCTGCTAAAACTTTCTCAATGGTTTCCCAATGCTCATAGGACAAAGATAAAACTACTTAACATGACATAAAATTTCTCACTGTGTATTCTTTCCCAGTATCATCTTATATTATGCTTACCCCTTGCTCTCTGCTTATTCAATTGGTTTGATTGTGATGCCTCCCACTTATTGCTGTCCAATAGAAATATAATGCAAGCCACATATATCATTTTTAATTTTCTAATAGCCACATTAAAGTAAAACCACGTGAAACTCATGTTAGTATATTTTCTTTTCCCAATATAACCCAAATGTTATCATAAATCATGTAATCAATATTTAAAAATTAAGATAATTTACAGTCTGTTATTTGTACTAAGTCTTTATCCATACTTAACCAGAGAGAGACTGCAGAAGCTACTATACCAACCAGCTATTCTAAACCCTTTTATGTTAAATATGAGCACCTTCCCAGTAATATACTCTTAAGTCACATCTCATTTATCTTCCTCCTTAGACCTGCATAGGCTTACTTTAAATAGTTTAAAAACCTGTAATAAACTACAAAGTTCGTTAAGAGTAGAGGTACTCTGGTTACTGGTCAAAATAGTGTGGCCAGAGGTAAAGCAAGTATTATTAAATGAATGCAATCCTTATTTACACAAATTGAACCTTTTTTTTCCCCCAGTAAAAAAGCTAGTCCAATATACGGTCTCATTCTACAAAGATATATCACTTCCAAATCACAGTGTAAGAAACTTGAATAATTTACCAATTTTTTTTTCTAAGTGCCTTTAGAGATACCTCACTAAAAACTGGTATCAGACACAACAAAATGACATTTGCAGAATATAATATTGTAGTGACAGTACTGAGACTGATTGTTACAAACTCTTTGAATATTAAACGGTCATATCCTAATTATATAGAACACTGGTCCAATAACAAAATAGAGAACAGCAGCTGGGAATTTATCTCATTCAATGTTGAGAGATAAAAGTTAACCATTCTTTCCATTATTTTCTGCAGATAAGTCGCCTTTTTATATTGAAATCTGATGGCAATTAAATTCAGGTATCTTTCCAAGCTACTGTGTGAAGAGGATGATGAAGGCCATCACTATACAGCATACTGCAACATAAGGACTATTCCGTTCACCAATTCTGGCGCATTTCCAAAATGCACCCAACAATCCAGTTTTATTTCTGTCCAGGAGGCTAGGTGCCAGGGATCGGATATAAGCACAGGTACATATAAACAGCAAGATTACAGTCAACAGGCTCTAAAAATTGAAAATGGCAGACATAGTGAGGCCGGCGAAGCCCCAGCCACATCACCCTTCCAAAAAAAAAATGTTTTAATAAATATATAGTAATAAATAAACTCCTTCACAGAGTTCACAATGTATCTTTTCATATTCTTACTATATATCAAGATTCCAGTAGTTCAATATTCCTGTCATTTCCTCTTACTATTCAAAGAATGAAGATATTCTGCATCTCTTTCCAGCATAAATTAATTTTTGAAAAATTTAAAAAAAAAACTACATACTAGGTCTTTACGTGCATTATTTTAATTTAATCCTCATAATATGATTGAAGCCATTTTTTTTTTACCATTTATATTATCAGACATTTAAACTGTTCATCTTTTCATTCTTTTGAACTCCAAGGAATATATTACTTATAAAATGAGAAAGGAGAGCACTAAAATAAAGCTTCAAAGGCCACCAACATACCAAGGATTCAATGATGCCATTCATGGTCGCGCTTATCCCTGTTGAAGTGGACATCTGTTTCAACAGTTCATAACACAAAATAAGACATTTCTGTAGTGTTTCAGCATCATTCTAAAAAGAAACAAAATATTCAGCATTATTAAGAATTTCTTCTACCCATTCCTTAAATGTCTGCTTTCTCAGGGCTTTGTCTAGACCGTATTTCCTCTGCTGACACACTCTGGGCAATCTTACCCAGTCATACAACTTCATTTACTATCTGTGAGCTAGCTCAGCTATTTTCTGAGTTTTGGATTCATATATACAACTGCTAGAAGACATTTAGCCTTGTATATTCCACAGGCTTCTCAAACTCAAAATGTCCAAATCCTTCCTCCTCTTGTGCTATCCCCACAGATGTCAGTCATCTATCCAGTTGTCCAAATCAAAAGACTAGTCATCTATCCAGTTGTCCAAATCAAGACTATCCCCACAGATGTTAGTCATCTATCCAGTTGTCCAAACCAAAAGACTCACTCTTCTTTGTTCCTAATTCCTAAATACTTCTCAAATCTACTACTACTTCCTATATCCACCATCATTATCTTGTTCAGACTGCAACCACTTCAAGCCCACAGTACTATAACAGTCTTCTAACTGTTGTGCCTGCCTAGTTTTTTACACACTGCAATCCATTTTCTGAGTAACAGTGATCTTTCTAAGACAAACCTCATCCATCCTACCCCTTAAAACCCTTTAGTGGTTCATCATGATCCTTGGGTAGCACAGAGTTTTAAATATTGCTTATACAAGGTCTTACATGACCTAGCCCTTAATTTTCCCTCCAGACTTCTAATTCTCCCCCTCAGTTCTCTAATCATGTGGATCTGAAGTTTTTAAACACAACAGGCTCTTTAACTTCTGAGCCTTCACACAGTTGTTCCACCTGCCTACAACATTCCCTTAACAATTCATTGCTAAGAGACAACAGAGTGCACTAAAAGCACTAATCGAAAGCCACTTGACTGGGTTTGAATTCTGTCTCCACCATTTACTACCTGTGTGACTTTGGGCAAGTTATCTGCCCTCTAAAAATGAGAATAATAATATCAACATCATAAGGTTATAATCAAGGACATTCACACTTGTGAAGTGTTTAAAGCAGTGACTATCACAGAAGAAGCATCCTGTTTATATTATTATTTTTATTCAAATCATAAGTTAAAACATTTCTTCCTCTGGGAAGCCCACAATACCCTATCTAAGTTAAATAAGTAAAAGCGAAAACCCCTGTACTATACATAAAACCCTATATGTCTCTGACCATAGCATTTATTGGGCTATGCTGTAACTGCACTATAACAAGTTTATAACCCTTAAGTAGGAAAAATAAACATGTAAATAGTCAAAGCATGTCAAGATAGACAATATTAATCATGTAGACTACCTTTGTTTTGTTAACATTTTCCTAATTCAGACCTACAATTTATATCATTTTTCAGTTTATATTTTCATTTTAAATTTGCTCCTCAAATTTAAGAGCCTATAATAATCCACAGACTTTGTCAAACAAAAAGAATAAGCTACTAGCTATGGAAATAAAATTCAGCACATTTATTGGGAAGGTGAGGTGTTACAGTGGAGCTGTTTATGGCTAAAGAGCTCAAGGACATCACATATCTTACAGAACACTTCTGTATAATAAACTCCTCCCTATCCAACATTTTCTGTATGAGAATACACTTATCAGCACTTCCTAGACTAAAAGTGCAATGATAAATGTTTACTTCAAAAGGTATTATCAGAAAAGACCTCTTGAATTAAAGTTAACAGCATATAGTATAGTAGTTGAGATCATTCTATCTTACATTTAATTAAGACTAGTTTGTCAAATACAATTAAGTTTTGCCCTGGCCAGGTGACTCGGTAATTTGGAGCATCATACTATACACCAAAAGGTTTCAGGTTCGATCCCAGTTGGGCATGTATAGGGGCAACCAATTGATGTTTCTCTCTCTCTCTTTCTCTCTCTCTGAATAAAAACCTATTCTCACCTGAGGATTAAAAAAATAATAAAACTGCCCTGGCTGGTTTGGCTCAGCGGTTAGAGCGTCGGCCTGCGGTCCTGAGAGACCCGGGTTCGGTTCCCGCTAAGGGCGCGTACCTCGGTTGCAGTTTGTCCCCAGCCCTGGTCGGTTGTGCGGGTGGCAACCACTCGATGTGTTCCTTTCACATTGATGTTTCTCTCTCTCTCTCTCTCTGTTCCTCTCTCTCCCTCCCACTCTACCTGAACAAAAAATGGAAAAATGTCCTCGGGTGAGGATAAAAAATAATAATAATAATAATAATAAAACTGAGTTTTAAAAAGACAGCTGAAACTTAGCTTTAAATGTTGCTAGATATGTTTACTATTTCATTGAAAATAACAAAGATACTTAACTTTTTCTAAAAACAAGAGTACAGTGATACACCACATGTTTGGTCAATGAATGGACCATATGCATACTAGAGTGGTCCCATTAGATTCTAGTATAAGCAAAAGTTTGTGATGTTGAAAGAAAAGGCTGGACATGACTAGATGTTGAATTTACTCCTAGCACTGGGTGGTTTAAGAGGTTCAGCATGCTGTCTACACGCTGTGCACCAAACAGTGGCTGGAGCCAAGAGTTGGCAAGGAAAGGTGGAGAGGTTGGGGAAGGGAGGCAGTCCCTGTCTGAGCGCATTGGCACACATGCCACACATACACTGCACACACACTTGTGTACAAACTCCATTCCCTTCCCTGTTTCTCTCTTTTTCCTCCCAGTCCTGTTTCTCTCCACCCTCACTTTCTCTTCCTCCTCTCCAGCTTTATCTCTGTCTCTTTTGATATCTGCCCTTCCTTTTTCTTCATTCCCTCTCTCCCTCCTCCTTGGACATACTCGCCCTTGATGGAACATCGCTCCACAGCCCTACCCCTGCTCCCCAAAACGTGCGTAAGAGCACATGCATGCACACACACACACACACTCTTAACATTTTATACTGTATTTTTATTGTACCTTCTCTATGTTTAGATATGTTTAGATACACAAATGCCATTGTGTTACAAATGCCTACCTACAGTATTCAGTACAGTAACATGCTGTACAGGTTTGCAGCTGAGGAGCGATAAACGATACAACATAGCCTAGGTGTGTAGTAAGCTATGCCACCTAGGTTTGTGTAAGTGCACTCTATGATATTCACACAATGACAAAGAAGGTGAAGGAATTAGCCAAAGCCCTTAGACACAGGTAACAGTGTCATGATGGCCACAGAAAATGGGGAGCTGGGGTTGGGTGGATATGAGCAAAGGCAGCAGGAAATGGGAACATCTGTAATAGTGTCAACAATAAAAATTGAGTTAAGCCCTGGCCGGTTTGGCTCAGCGATAGAACGTCGGCCTGCGGTCCAGAGAGACGTGGGTTCAGTTCCCACTATGGGCATGTATCTCAGTTGCAGTTTGTCCCCGGCCCTGGTTGGGTCGTGGGGGTGGCAGCCACTTCAATGTGTCCCTTTCACATCGATATTTCGCTCACTGTCTCTCTCCCACCCCACTCTATCTGAACAAAAAATGGAAAAATGTCCTCGGGTGAGGATTTAAAAAAAAAAAATTGAGTTAAAATTGCCAAACAACACATGCCTCAGAATTTACCTATTATGTGACACATAATTAAAAATTTAAAATATGTGTATAATGGTACAGTTACTATTGAAATTATTTTCCTAGTAACAGAAAGGTCCTGAGTCTTCCACAAATAAGGAAAAGATAAATAGATGGATGCATTTTCCTTTTCTTAACCATTCAAAACAAACAAAAACTCAACCAGAAGGAAACCATTTCCTTGGCAAAGAAGTCTTCATTTTTATTTTAATCCTCACCAGAGGACATGCTTTTATTGACTTGAGAGAGAAACATAGATGTGAGAGTGAAACATCAATCGGTTGCCTCCAGTATGTGCCCCGACCCACGGGGATCAAATTCGCAACCTGGGTTTATGCTCTGACCAGGAATCAAACCCACGACCTTTCGGTATGTGGAAAAACACTCCAAACAACTAAGCCACACTGGCCAGGGCAGAAAAAGGACTATAGATTCCAGGGGTTAGCATTTAAGGAAGCAAATAAAGTCCTAGCTACAATAATGAAAGTTAATTAAGGCCTTTCAAAGTCCAAAATAGAAAGGAACAGGAGGGAACAAAAATATTTTCATATTAACTCATGGTACTGTTATAAAAATCTCTCCTAAGTGAACATATTCTGGCAGCTTTCTGAGTTAAGAAAACAAGGTTTAGTTGGGATAAATATCAGTTGAAATTTAGTATAAAGAAGTTATCTGTACCTTCTCTACATGGACTTCCTTAAGTTCAAGTTGCTCTGTCTCTTTCAATAGGTTTACTCTGGCATCTTCTAATGCTTTTATTTCTTCTTTTAATTCTGATGCTTGATTAAAATCCTGTAAGGTAATGCAATTTTCCAAAGCTTCTTTTGCCTCAATAAGTTTAACTTTTATTTCAGCCATCTAGGAAAGATATAAAATGACTATGTAAATACCAAACAAAATCTATTAATATGAAAATCTGTAACAAACTGAAGAGTACAATTTAACATCTCAACGTCCCAGAAGTTAATCAGTCAGGCATATACAAAGTTGTAGTCTTCCTGAAACAGAGACCGATAAATCTTTCAGGCTGACATAATCTGGCAGCATTTTAGATACTCTTATACTTTAATAGTTAACCAATAATTTGACCTCATGAGAACAATTCTGAAAATGTACAGCAAGAAGGAATAAAAGACTTGCACAACTACATTATATTCAAGTATTTCTTTATTTCAGAAGAGATTTACCTTGAGTTCTTTCTTTCTTGCATCAGCTGGATCAATTTTAACACCAACAGTAACAATTGGTGCCCGAATCTCTGAGATAATTTCTGTAACCTGACAAGTTATAATACAGAGTACATGCTTTAATATATGTTCTATTTCAGAAAATGACATCAAACTGCTATATAAAACTCTAAGTAGTATTCAATCTCTTGAAAAATAGAACAAAATATACAAGTGAAAATGGTACATATTCTATTTGCTAAACAATTTTATAAAAAAACTGACCAAATAATACATCTGACTATAAACTCTAAGATTATGGGAGGATAACAGGCACGTAGATACTGAAGATAAGTTCTCACATATTGCTTGAGAAACAGAAAACATGAATATAGTGTCTTAACATCAGGTACCATAAAACTAAAATTCTCTGCCTAAAATCTTCACTTCCTTCCCTTGTTCAGCTCCTTGGGAGTTAAATATAAAAAACGGAATACTCTTTGTGCCCTGGATATATAATGCATAATGACAGCATAACTTTCTTTTCAGAGCCACTAGAATTGGCCGATTCAGGAAAAGGCTGCATCCCAAATAAGGGTACTTACGCAGACACTAGATACCCACTAATTAGAAATGTTGTAGAAGGGATTTATGTATAAGTATGTGTATCTAAAGAGAGATTGGAAAAGACCACCTCTGAATTAACTTACATCTCTGAGATGGTATGATTTTATGAAAAGCAATGACAGGTCTACTTTTTTTTTTTTTGGTTTGGCTTTTTTTGGCTATCCCAGAGAAAATAACAACAGTAATATTATAGTAACATTTATTTCTGTATTTACAAAAGATTTCATGAACATTATTTCATTAAATAATGAAAGGTAGGTTTTATTGTTATTCTTATTTTGCAGACAACTAAAAGGTCTAAATTAAATGCCTTTCTCAAAATCACAAAGCCAGAAATCTCAGAGGGGATCTGAACCCAGGTATATAACTTGAGCCAGTTCTCAAACACTCTAGTGATCAATGCCCAACATCACCTCTTCCCTAACCTGCTCCATTTCAAATGATACAACACAATGGTATGTTAAGAGGAGGAGATGTGTTTTTAAATGTGTGTGTGTGAGAGAGAGATCTGGTTTTAATTTTAAAAACCTGAGACAAAAAAATCAAAACAAATGGAAGCTAAAGACAAAACAAAAAGTACTGAAAAAAAAGTTAAGACAATCCTGTCATTGACCAAAACCTCTTATCTTGATCTATAATGAAGAAAATTACTTACAATTTGTGTTCTCTTATTATCATCTGTAACGATGTGGAGCAGTCTCTCAACAAGAAAAGAAATTAGGGACATCGGGGTTGTGGGTAGAGTAAGAATCTCCTGTAAAATAGCCAGCAGTCGTTTCCTGCATTCAAAGAGAACTATTTTAATTTAAATATGACACCAGAAACACATTTTATCTCTAAAATTTCACCTCTTCTTCAGACTTAATCATATTTGTCTCAGTTCTTTTTTATTACTATAAGTAAAAAATATATGTATAGATTTTAGGTCAAAAATTCATGTTCTGAGCCCTGGCCAGTTTGGCTGTGGTTAGAGTGTTGGCCTGCGTGCTGAAGGGTCGCAATTTTGAGTAGCGACTTTGATTCCCGGTCAAGGGCACATTACCTGGGTTGCCAGGTTTGACTCGTGGCCCATCAGGGTCATGTGGGAGGCAACCAATCCTGGTGTCTCTCTTAAATCAATGACTGCTCGCGCTCCCCGTCCCCCCGTCCCCCCCCCGCTACCACCACTCCCTCCTACTCTATCTTAAAAAAAAAAAAATCAATAAAAAATATCCTCAGGTGAACATTAACAACAACAAAATTATGTTCTGTAAAAAATAATAATTTCTAAAAATGACCTTATAACACTAGGGTGGGGAAGGCAAGAGGGGGGTGAAAGTGGGAATGAGGGAGGTGAATGGGGATAAAAGGGGGACATCTGTAATACTTTCAACAAAAATAAATGACCATATAATCTTTTATAAACCAACATAATGAAATGACAAAATACCAGAAGGAAATAAAATCTTTTAGATAGTACTACTAACCCTGTCATGATAACAAATAGATTTTTAAGCATAAACCTGCAATTTCATTGATTTATTCTAAAACACTGAATTAAGGCCACATAAAATAAAAAAATAAACAAATAAACATAAAAAATCCTCATTAAAAAAATACCTTATATATTTTAATACACACAAGTGCACACACACACACACACACACACACACACACATACAGGATGTCCCAAAACACGGTATACACACTTTTTAAAAATATTTTTTCTTTATTGATTTTAGAGAGACAGAGGGACATCAATTGGCTGCCTCCTGCATGCCCCCCACTGGGGATTTGGCCCACAACCTGGGCATGTGCCCTGACTGGGAATCAAACTGGCAACCTCTTGGTGCATGGGTCAACACTCAGCCACTGAGCCACACCGGCTGGGCTGTATACACACTTTTTAACAGCTGATAACTCACAATGTTCACTCCTTTTCAGGTTTAATTGATTTGAAATAATGGGTGAAGCCAGATTATGCTTTGAACAAAGAAAACTTATCCTGAAGTGCCACTAGACTTTTTTTATGGGGATACACAAAAGATAAAGTTTACGGTGCAAAAGCATTAACAGTTGACAAATTAAGAGTGCACAAATACCAAATGAAATGATTTTTGGTGTTTGTGATTGCACTGCCTCATGTTACCAGCAGGGCCTGGACCAGAATGATCATCCGTTTGAAAACAAGTGCTGACAAAAAAAAAAAAAAATTCATTTCTGTAGATTCTTTTAAGTTTTGAAAACAAACTGTATATTAATAAACACTGACTTTATAATCATTCAAAGTGTGAATACATGTTTTGGGGACACCCTGTATATAGAAAGGGAAAGGAGGGAAATTGTATGTTTTCTTTTATATATTACATATATAGAGAGGAAAGAGAATACTTTTTATAACATGTCAGAGAGTTAGGTTAAATACAGGGGTGTGCAAAAAAAGGTTTACAGTTGTGAGTACACAAAACAGTTTATTCTTGTATAATTATTTACTAATTATTATTTTCCATACAAACAACTGTAAACCTACTTTTGTCAACCCCTGTATATTTAATTATATTGTAAAAATACTGTATTTCAATATAGGATTGGAATAAATTAGAACTAGGGTTAACATTTAGACATACCTTCCTCCTTCTTCGTTGGTATCCAAAGACTTGATAATTAGAATCAATTGCTGACCTATGAACTCTTTTGTCATCAAATGTCCAATGTAGGAAAAATCATTTCTGTGTTCATCTTCAACTACTGGAATGCTCTGAATATAACTAAAACAAGAAGAATTAATAAAATATAGAATGTGTTAAAAAAACATTGAACAGATCCCCATTAGGTCAGAAAAAGGTCTTTTTTCAGTTCACATTAATACAAATATATGGATGTTTACACCACATGATACCAATTTGGTTTACAGAGTACATTCAATACTACTGTCATGAACTTTTTTGCAAACAAACTTACTGGTATGAATCAAAATAATTTGAAATATATTTTCATTAAAAATTAAAATTTCCTATGAGAAATTTTAAGAGGTACATATTTATTTCTCTCAAACTGATAACTAATTCCTTCAATGTCACTTGTATTCTCTTATTTTTAATTTTTTTATCTTTCTATTATAGTTGATATTCAATATTATTTTCTATTTGTTTCAAGTATGTCTCTAATATTCTCAATTAAAAGTTCTGCATTCCTTCTCCAAAATCCAATTTCATAAAGAGCTAGTCTTCCTTCATCATCATCCTTAATTAACCATTATTTTGTTTAAAAGAATAGTGGTAATAATGCTAATTATATAAGTAATCCATGAATACAATAACCTTTTAAAAAATCAGAAAAATATAAATAGCTTTATGAATCTGTATTATCCTTGCTTAGGGGCCCTACCAATCTCTGTATTGTTCTTATTTTAGTGTAGGTGCTACTGAACAGCACCTTCAACTACCCCTGTATTCTATCACTGCCCTAATTAAAGCCTTTTACAATCCTCACCTAGAAAATACTCAGTAGCCTACAGAAGGTCTCCCTTTTGTGTGTGCTTAAACAACTAGATGCCTGTAGGTTGCAATATAAAAAACAACAATCCGGATGAAAAATGTCATTTTAAAAATGTCAACAAAAATCAACTTATAGAAACTGCAGAACTGTGTATGTAAACACATTGGCTCATCTTTTTTAATGCTTTCCAAGAGTGTATAAAAGCTCAAAAATCTCTGGTCATGAGATTAGAACCTTCATGGGCATCAGCCACCCACTGGACTTTTACAAGAAGCTAAAGAAAGGCTACACAACTAACATATATCAAAATCAATAAATAGATCAGCCCTTGCCAGTGTGGCTAGTTGGTTGGGCATCATCCCATGCACAGAGAGGTTTCAGGTTCAATTTCTGGCCAAGGCACATGCCCAGGGTACAGCTTAATCCCTAGTACAGGGTGTACAGTAGACAGTCCATCTATGTTTCTCTCTCATCAATGTTTCTCTCCCTCTCCCTCTAAAGATCAATAATATATAAATCAACACACACACATATATATATATATATTTTAAAATCAATAGATCAGTATGTAGTTACTGATTTCTGATAGTTAAAAATCCTTCAGTCATCTCTGAATCCCTTCCTACTTTACCCCAGCTTTAGCACAATGCACAGCATCAAAGAATATTTTTTTCATTAATCGGTAACAAATCCTAAACTGTACAAATGTAACTTAAAATGGAACCACCAATTTTAAGTACCATGAAATCATCTCTTTTAACCATTTTTAAAGATATTCATTATAATGAAGAGATCACTAAGAAAGCCTTATTTAAAAGTTCACTCCAAGAATTTGTATGTAAGATAACTTTCTAAAAATTGTGTTGATGTCCCTCTTTCTTACTCAAATTTGATAAGCCTCATTTAATATCCCTGATTCCCCTCTTTATGTGAACACCTTAGGTAATAGAAAACTGTTTTCTATCAGAATTCTGAGTCACTAACTCTTCCTGCTACAAAATGCCTGAAATATATTCCTAAGATTATCTATCATGAAAATTTTTCCATTTAATTGTTTCTGTACCCAAGTATATTAATCCTATCTAGTAATGTTGCTCTACCTGTCAAAAATCATTTTTATTAAGTATTCTTTCAATTAAAATACAACTTTTAAAGTTTTCCTCTAAGTGAAAAAACAAGTTGACTGAAGTTATTTCAAAATTCACAGATTAACCCTTGCCTTTCTCTTCCCCTTTCAGAAAAAAAAAAAAAAATCACAGATTAAGTGACAAGTGACAAAGGAAATATAAGAATAAGTAAGCTCTTTAGATGTCAATATTAACTAAGAATTAATCAATTTATGAAGCAGTCTCTGATAAGAGCTTCCCCCTCTATGTCATTTAAATATTTAACATCTCCTATTTTTCTTTTTTTTAAAACCACTGAATCATCCACTTTATTTTTTATTTATTTATTTATTTTTTATCCTCACCAGAGGACATTTTTGCATTTATCTTCAGATAGAGCAGGAGAAAGAGAAGGGGGAAGAGAGGGAGAGAAACATCGACATGAGAGAGACACATCGAGTGGCTGCCACCCACACGACACCAACTGGGGCCGGGGACAAACCACAACCGAGGTACATGCCTTTAGCGGGAACCGAACCCAGGACGCTCTGGTCCACAGGCCGACTCTCTAACTGCTGAACATCTCCTATTTTTCTATTTCACCTATCTTCCATAATAATTTATTGCTCTCATATTAATACATATTACTAAGCATTACATCAAACTCATTCCCTTTAGAAACATTTCAACATGACCCAAACAGCACTATAAGGAATACTCTAACTAAATGTTAAAACCTGAAATAATTACCATTAAAACACTAGTAAATTCACATGTTTTACATGATGTTACTAAGAGCTCAAGCTGTAAGTTCCCATGTTGGCTCACATTTAAGATATTTATCCTAGATTAATATTTTGCATATGAAATTCAAATGCATTTATAGCTCTGCTTCCTAACTCACATGTGAGAACATTATAAGCAAAAACAGAACAGTATTATTTCATACAAAAAAAATTCAGGCCTATGGCCAGTGTGGCTCAGTGTTCGAGCGTCGACCCATGCACCAAGAGGTCAGCAGTTCGATTCCTGGTCAGGACACATGCCCAGGTTGTGGGCCCAATCCCCAGTGGGAGGCATGCAGGAGGCATCTAATTGATGTTCTCTCATCAATGTTTTGTTTCTCTCTCTCTCCACCTCTCATTTCCTCTCTGTAAAATCAATAAAGGGGGGGAAAATTCAGGCCTATAATTCATAATATGCTTTTAAAAATGCATCAAAAGCATAAAGTTAAAAATCTACACACCAATATATATAACTTTTGGCACAGCAATTCCACTTCTGAAAATCAACCCCTCAAAATCCCAAATGTACATAAAAATGTACAAGGAAGTTTAACACAACTATAAAATCGGTGAACTCCTAAAATGTCCATCAACAAAGGAGTAAATGCAATACCACCACACTATCAAATGATATGCTGTTAAGACTGTGATATATTTATATGCACCAGCATATAATGATTGCAGACACCAGTAGTTTAAAAAAAAACAACACACTATATATAGTGTGCTATATTTTTTAAAAGCATTTCTGCATTTAGTGTACTTGTAATGCAAACGTAGAGAAAGGTTTGAAAATATTCACCCCAAACTGTTAACTCCAAAGAAATCAATGAGATTTGAGGAATAAGGAGTTAAAAGAGGAAATTATACATTTTTATTCTATATACATCTTTATTGGAATTTTGACAAGAATGAATTCATGTTTTATTCGTAGAATTTTAAAGTGGAATAAGAAAAACGTAGAGTAATTCAAATAATTTAAGAAAAAAAGTACATTTTGAAAAAATAAACAAAAAGCCAAATAGTAACAGTTTTAATTAATACTAAAACTGACCACAAACGTCTACCCTGTCAGTTGGAAAACTACAGCCCATGCACCAGAGACAGCCTACTGCTTGTTTTCTATAGCTTGCAAGCTAAGATTTTTGCATTTTTAAATACTAGTTTAAAACATGTATGTGAAAATACATACATGTGAAAATTATATCAACTTCAAATTTTAGCGTCGATAAAAGTTTTGTCGAAAACCACTCACACTTACTTATTCATTCCATTTTGTCTTTGGCTGTGTTTGCACTTCCACAGCAGAACTGAGTCATTGTGACAGAGACAGTATAGCCCACAGACTCTCACCTATTTACTATCTAGCACTTAGAAAAAGTTTGCTAACCAATTTCAGAGTAACACATCATTTTCAAACTTTATGGAGAAATGTACACAATCACATCTTGTTTCCAAGAAATGTCCCTAAACATATTAACTTCTTCTTTCTTCAGAAAGACTCAATATGCATACCTATTTATCTCTGCTTGTCCAAAAACATCCTTTTTAATTTATTCCCAATCAAGCCCGTCTTTGAGGGAAGGGGGACTGCGAGACTGGCACAGATAGCAACACAATACAGTCCAAACCAAAGGACAAAATTTTACCTCAGTAAATACTCTGCATATATCACAGGCTCTGGCAAAATCTGCTCTAAAAAGTCTTCACCTTCATCTCCTTTTGACTTCAAATATTCACAAAGGACACGCCAATACAAAGCATTTTCAGGAGTTAATGTTTCCACTGGAATCAATTTCCTTCATTTAAAAGAGAGAAAATAAGAGAAAGCATGATCTTAATATCGTTAAAAATTAGAACTGAACAGAAAAATGGGAATAAGAAGCAACTTGATTTGTAACCACTATCCATTTAAACTGCAAAGTCATTAAGTTATTCACAAAAATGAATGAAAATATTTAGACCTTCCCCCCCAAAAAAATCAAACCAGCAAATATACCACAGAGATGCAAGTTGTTGGACTTTCCATGGTAGGCCAATACAAAAATTAAAGTACCAAAATAAAAAAATAAAAAATGCACCTATGGTAAATTAATGAGTTCTTACAAGGGAGAAAAAAGGGGAAAAAATTCACCAGAATAAAAAAAATAAAAAGGGGTAAGATAAAAAGTATTGATACAAACTGAAGTAATGGGGCGAGGGGACTAATTTTCATTGTAGAGGTTCATTAGTATCACATTTCAAAGTATGAATAGTTCATCTACCTGTCATCGTTATTTTTACAGATTTCTGCCAGTTCATTAAGAGGAGTCACTGAAAATAAGGCATTGAGAACAGAGACTGCCACTTCAGAAGAATTTTCCACATCCAACCGATGAAGCAACTCTAATATGTTCCCTTCAGTAAAACGCAGCCAGCCTTGGAGAAGATACTTCTGTGTTGCTTGTTTCACAGCCTCTGTTAAGTCATTTGAAACACAGGTGAACAGAGGCTCCCTCTAGCTTCCAATTCCTGTATTTTGTCTGTTTTCATTAATTTACCAGATCAATGTTAACAGAAAGTTGATATTTACAATAAAAATGGAAAGAAACCAAGAGGCAAAACAAAGCATACAGATGAAAAACTAGGGGGGGGTGGGAAGAGATAAACCACAGAACTTATATGCATGTATGCATGACCAATGGACATGGACAACTAAGCCGGGGACAGGGTGGAAGGGGATAGGGTGGGGGGTGCCAATGGGGTAAAAAGGTAAAATATCTGTAACAAAAAAATAAATAAAAATTCATAATAAAAAAGAAAAACTAGAAGTACAATGATACTAGAAAAATCACTATGATGCTCATTTCTGAATAAAAATGAAAAAGGTCAGAACCAAATACATAACCACTACCACAACCCTGCATTCCTTCTCCCCTAGTGTTCAGTGTGCTGTTCAGGTCTTAGTCTAGACTACATAATACCTATTATTTCACTTGTTGATTGATTTCATCTATTACACATGATACTATTTACAGTAGTTAATTATACAAGCATAATCACTGAACAACCTATTCTTAACTTTTAAAGTCATCTTAATCATTAGTCCTGTGATAATTAATGTTTTCAAACTCAGGTTTCCTTGCTACAGCAAAATTAAGCCTTCTCACAGCGATTGGAAATTTAAGCTAGATAATTCCTCATCATTCCTGTAAACAGATTCTCAGTTTTAACAGGAAGAAAACAAAATAAAACAAAAAATCTAAGAACATTATACTAGTATGACAGTTCCTAATTGCTGTTTCCAAAGCACAGAACACATTCATATCAAGATACACACTTTTTTTTTTTTTTAATCCTCACTCAAGGATATATACTTTTTTAGATTTTTAGAGAGAAAGAAAGGGAGAGAAACATCAATTGGTTGCCTCCCATATGTGCCCCAACTGGGAACCAAACTCACAGCCTAAATATGTGCCCTGAGGGGGAATCAAACCTACAACAACCCTTTTAGTGTAAGGGATGGCACTCCAACCAACTGAGCCACCAGGCCAGGGCAAGATAGTATTTTAATAAAGTAGAGAGTTGAAACAAACTCTGCTCCTTCTAAGTATCAAGATCTTTAACCTTAGGAAATGTTTTCTATACAATACACCAAGACAAATTTCCATAGGCTGTGGAAATAATAGGCTTACTTGACTTAATTTAGGACACCTGTTTCCTAAAGCGTTTAAGTCTGAATTCAATATTTACTGAAGTTTTATATATGAAGATGTCTATCTTACCTGATCTGTCATTAAGACCTTGTTGAAGGAGCATTACTCTCTGAGCAATGGACATAACTCTCATATGAACCTTTTCACCTAAAACCTTAAATAGATAATATTAAAAAGATGGTGATTAAACTCAACATAGTTTACATATTTCATAACTAGTATTAATTCCTTCATCTGAGAAAATTACCCAGACTCCCCCCAAAAATTAATATCTGGTGACACATTTAATGCAATAAGATTCTACTTAAATTACCTATGCTCTCCGATAGCAAAAATCTCAATTAAAGAAATCATTATTATTTGCCAAATATTTTTCAAAAGCATTTTAAGAATATGGCTTGTCTTTTAAGAATATGCTCATACAAGATACTGAACTTATTTACCTGATAAGCCAGCTTTCTGACAGCCTCTTTCACATCCTTGGTGCGCCCTACAATTTTTGGCAAAGTCTTTGCTGATGGTACAATACATGATAACACTGCCCGCCTAACTTCTGGATTTGAATCATTTTCGATCAAAGTTGCATACGCTAAAAGTAGAACAATACATTTTAGTGCATTAAAGAAATATTTCTTTCACCACAGTCATAAGACAGCTCACATTTCGATATTTAGTAGTATCTTTAAAATAATAAAAATATCATTTTTAGCTGAAGATTTTTGTCTGCCAACTTCCCTTAACAAGGACAGAATGGGAAATTACTCAATGGACTGGGCATGACGGCTAAAACAAAAACAAATAGCCAGAAAGATCATGGAAAATCACCATTAAGGTTATGTCTCTGCTACTCTTCAAGATTTACAAGAATGTCTACTATAGCAGGCAGTTTATTTTTAAAAGGATATGGCTTTATAAAGTACTCATTGCTATTTTGATTTTTAATGAATTCTAAAAGAAATAACTTCAGGTTTTACTCACTGAAACAAAATCCATTCCTGTATTTAAATATTTATTTACCTCTACTTCTAAAATTTTCCCCAGGTTTACAAGCAAATACATGTTGACTATTAAACATATGTGTTTTACACACTATTATTATGTGCATCATTTAACACCAAAAAATACCAACTACCACTGGTTACCAAAATTAATTATAAAGCTAGTAACAAGGACAACGAGAAAAATGAACAGAAGAGTAGCCAAATATACCTACGCTATCTTTATAAGCCCAGAGGTAGGGAAAGATTTCTTAAATAAAAGATAAAATGTGCAAATCATAAAGAGATTGATAATTTTGACATTAGGAATTACGTCCAACAAAAGACATCCCAGAAAGAGTGCAACAATAGGTCATCTAAAGTAACAAGAAATCTACAATTTACATAACCCAAGGATTTCTTTGCAACATAAAGAATTCCAATAAATCATTAAGACAAACCAACAACAACAAAAATGGGCAGAACACATTAACAGGTGTTATATAATAGAAGAAATATAATTGGCTGCTAAATATCCAAAAAGACACATATAACAATGACATACATCATATATCCAGATAAACAAAAAATTTTAAATCTGACAATACCAAACATTGGAGGCTTTTATGCACTTTTATTGAGAATATTTATTGTTAAACTGTTCTATAGAACACTAGTATCTTGTCTAATAAAGCTGAATGCACTTTATAACCTAGAAAAACTCTAACCTATTCACTAGAAACCATGTGTAAATTCATAAAAACACTTTTTTAAAAGCAAAATAAGTGAAAACTAGAAGATCCAACAATATTAGAGATAATAAATTGTGCTATGTTCGTATCACAGAATTCTATAAAACAGTAGTAAATAAACAGATCAACATGGATGAATGTTACAATTAAAAATAACGTTGAGAGCACAGAAAAATGTATTATGACACATAGAGCATACAAAATGATAGGCAAAACTTAACATTACTTAGAGGTATGCACATGCAGTTAATTGTTTAAATAAAAAGACAAGATAATCCAAAAATCAAGATAATCATTATCTTAGAGAGTGATGTAATTGAGGTGAGGCATAAGTTAGGTTCCAAAGTTACTGATGATGCTCTTATTTTTTTAAGTTGGGCGGTATCTCCTTGGGTTCTTTTTAAATTATATATATATATATATTTAACATATATATATAGTTCATAATTTCACATATATATATAGTTCATAATTTAAAAAATTCATCTACTGCTAATTTAACAAAGTCATCAAAACTGAAAAAGGATTTAGGTAGCTAGACATACCATTAGCCACTGGGCATTCATCATCTTTGGGATCCTGAAGTCGTGAAAGAGCCAGAACTGCCTGTAACCTCACATTTGGAATTTTATCTTTCAATCTGATAAGCATGGCTTCATTAATTTTATCAAACAAATCATCATCAATCTGGGCATTTTCTGGCATATTTCCCAAGAGCTTGTTTATGAGCTGGCACACTCTAAATCTAACTGCATTGCTGTTTGCTTCATGAGACTAAAATAGAAACAAATCAAAATTTAGTCGCATACCATTGAATTCTGTATGTTTAGAACTCAAGAAATTACAACATTAATTCATTACTTGCAGAAAAACTATGCTACCTTGATCCACATGCATACTAAAAATATGTTTTATAAATTATCAAAATATACAGTCTGAGGTATTTGCTAAATTACAAGAGTATATTCCTCTTTGTAGGAACTCTTACTCTACTTCTAAAATAGATAACTCATTTAACATAAATGTATGGGAGAACTGGTTTAGAGAAATCGTTAAGAATGTAATCCTGGTGTTATTTTAAAAGTCCACCTTTTATAGGATATAGGGAGATAAATGGTGATGGACGGAGACTTGACTTGGGGTGGTGAACACGCCATACAATGCACAGATGATGTGATGTAGAATTGTGCACCCAAAACCTGCATAATTTTGTTAACCAGTGTCACCCCAATTAAATAAAAAAGTAATTTTTTAAAAGTCCACCTTTTAACCTTAACGAGTTCTAATATTTCCTATAAAAAGCAAATTCGTTCCCAGACATTTCCTCATTTACCAGATCTTTCAGTCTCTAAAATAAACAAACTCCCATGGCCCTTTTAATATAGTAAAATTTTCTAGAATTACTTCCCCAAAGTTCTCACTTTCATAATACCTTTAACAGAAAAGTACACAAATAATTTAAAATGCCACTGTCTTCCTCCTCATCATCTTCCGCATCTGACTGGTGAAATGAAGTAACAAACTTCGCTGCAAATTCAATTACCCTCTCCACAACAGGTTCACGTTTATACACCACCATGGCATATTTAAGATAATGAATGAACTCCTCGTGAAAAATTGTTTTATCCATCTGAAAGACAAAATAAACCCTTCACACGCACTGATAAAATCCTTATTTTCCCAACATTACCCTAAGCCTGCTGAAAGCCTTAGGCATAACTCAAACTAAAGTCATTATTTAATAAATTCTGAATTATCCAAACCATCAAAAGGGAAATTAATTTGCACGAATTTATCTCCAGAGAAATTTACTCCTCCCAGGGAGAACACAAATCGTGAATTTTTACATGAAAGGATTCCTTTTTTCCCTCCAATATCCCCAGAGTCTCAATATGCACTGATATCAGTTTAGTAAAAATATGCTTCATGGACCCAAGGGCGACAATGGCTTTAACATTTTACAATTAGCCTTCCTGTTGCACAGAAACTCCCTTTTGATATAACTTGCACAGCTCTCTCTTATCTTCGAGTCCTATTATATCGACTGACAATTTTTCTTGGACCCCAAAATAATTTATTTTCCCGAAATGCACTGTCCTATTCTTTTCACGGCTCCACTCAAAAAACAGTATTTGCAGGAAGGGCCAGGTCCTCTTAATTATTTGCTATTTAACCGTGGGGGGGTTGGACCTGGTGACAGACGGTCGGCGGCGACCGGAGCGACAACCCCCGCTGAACCACAGCACTCGGGATCCACCCTCAGGCCCGATTACGGTGCCAGGTCGCCTGGGCACTTGGAAACATTTCTCTCCAAGTTCACCGCCCACGGAGGATGAACGGCCCGCGCCGGAGGCCGCAGAGGAGGGCGGGGTGCCCGGCGATCTCCCGCAAGTCGCCAGATCCGGAGGCTCGAGGAGACAGGAGTCGCGGTGCGCGGAGTCCCGAGAGTCACTGGAGGGCGAGGGGCAGCGGCGACCCGGGGCCTGGGGGTCTGGCGCGCTTACCGTGCGGTAGGTGCGGCTCAGCGCCACCACCAGCTTCGCCTGGTTCTGGTGCGGCTGCTGCGCCAGCTGGAAGGCCTCCTTAATGGGCAGCAGCTTCTTCTCTGCCCCCATGGTGGCGCGACTCCGCGGGGACGGGCCCTTCCGGCGCCCTGGCTGCAGCTGGACCGACGGACCACAAGCCCAATCTCCAGAGTTCCCTCGGACTCCTTTCTGTGGGGCCGCGGAACACACAGGGCGTGGTTACCGCCAGAGCGTTTAAATAACTCCCGCGGGAGAAGGAAATATCGCGACACTGCCGAGATGGCGTCGGGAGACGAGAGCGGGAAGAGCTAGACCCACCCACCTCAAACCGTGCAGTTTGGGCGCATGCGCGTCGGGTAACTGCAGCCGTTGTCGGGGGGGAAGAAGCATTTCTAAGAGGAGGGGGGCGTTGGCTCGCCCGGAAGTGGTACCCGCTGGAGAGGGCGAGCGGAGTGGCGGTGTGATTGTCGGGACCGAGGGGCGTGAGGCCTATCCTGGTCGTGCGGCTGGGCGTGAGGCGAGAAAGAAAACAAATTCTCCTTGGGTGAGAACGGAATCTGCTGAGGGGAGAATCCCTGCTGCCACCGAAGGGGAGCGGAGGGTCCCGGGAGGACGGGTTCGTTTGGAGATGGTGGAGAAGGGAAAGACGGGGTAGTGAGGGCAGGCCCGCGGCCTGGCTTCTGCGGGGAAGGAGACTCCCGGGTCGGCTGAGGGCCCCTCCGAGGCCTCCTGGTGGGGCCGGGCCGCCGGCTGTCGGAGCCCTGGGCCGGGGGAGTGCAGGCGGGGACCCGCCGGCAGAGGGGCGCGGGGTCGTGGAGGCACCGCCGTCCTGGGCGTGCAGCGAGCGAGGCCTGCCGGACGGTGCCCGGCGACGGTGCCCTCGGCGGACGAGAACCGGAGACCCCAGTGGTCAGGGTCGGGAGTGGCTGAGACAAAGGGCTGTGCGCTGCCTCGAGCAGGAGCTACGCCGTGGAACTTTCCTCCAGAGCGGAATTGTGCCGGGACCGAGATGGGCGCCTCGGTCCCCTCGGCCCAAGAAAGGAGGCGCTCGGAGCCGCCCCGCTTCCCTTTCCTGTTCAAGCACCTGCCCTCCCGGAGTGGCGGGCTTGCTGGACCCACGGTTGCTATGCGTGTCAACGACGGACGGATACGTCTCTTATTAGTATACCGTGTGGTTTTCGTGTTCTGATGTGAATAGTCAGACGCGCGGGTGGCTTCCTTTTTTCAGTCGGTATTGCTTTTGCGGTTTTTATTCACATTGGTATTTTCATAATAGTAACTCACATCTGTGGACCCTATGTGCCAGACAGTGGTGTGAGCGCTTTACTTCGTGTCATGTGTGCAAACAGCCCCTGTGGAGGAACTTCTGTCTCCTTTCAAGAAGAGGACACGGGGCGCGGGTTGCCGAAGTGTCCCGTGGTTCGAGTGTGCCATGATTTATCCATCCGTTCTCTTCACGTTCCTGATTCCTGAAACAGTTTTCAGTTTTCAAACGATAAAGTAATGAATATGGAAGCATCTGGGTGGCCCTTAATTTCAAAATTATCAAGATGTCTAATTTCTGAAAAAAGCGTTTTAATCAGTTAGGGCAAAAGTATAGAGGCCTAAGAATATATGGAATATGCTGATGGCATTTATAAACGCACTGTAGCAAAAATGTGGTCTGCCTGGGAAGTTGTGGAAAACCTAGAAAAGGCATTAATTTTTTTTTTTTTTTATCCTCACCTGAGGGTACTTTTTCTATTTATCCTCAGATAGAGTGAGAGAGAGAGAACAACGTCGATGTGAGAGAGACACACCGACTGGTTGCCTCCTGCACGACCCTCACCAGCGACGGGGACGATCGCAGCCCTTAGTCCAGGGACCAGAATCAAACCCGCGACTGGTCCACAGGCCAGCGCTCTGACTGCTGAGCCAAACCAGCCAGGGCAAGGCATTAATTTTTTTTAACCAAGTATATCCAATATAGCATTTCAACATGTTATCAACATAAATAAGGGAGGTAATTTACATTTTTTTTCTGTTAAGTCTTTGATATTGGGTATTTATTATTTTACACTAACAAACTAATATTTAGAGGCATTTTCTTATTTCTTGGCCTTTAATTGCTTTGGGTGCCTGCTACCTTTGTTGTTTTGTTTAACTGTGAAGTTTCTATATTATTTCCTTTACTGTATTTTAGTTGGCTGTCTTGCCACAAATGAGAAATGACTTCATACAATTTTGTCAGTTACTGAAGGATGAGGCATCTGGCCACCAGAGGTCAGCCTAACTATATTTAATTATTTTCTTTTTTTTTTTTTCTTTTTCTTTTAGGATTAATAACTTTTTGGTTCAGTATTTTTTGAACATTATAATCTGGAAAAAAATTTTGAAGATATTTGCAAACCGTTTTCCCAAAGGGGGTTAATATCCAAAATATATAAGGAACTCTTACAACTCAATATAAAAAAAAAACAAAAACAACAATTTAAAAAGTGAGCAAAGGATCTGAATAGACATTTTTCCAAAGAAAACATATTAATGGCCAACAGATATATGAAAAGGTGCTCAACATCACTAATTATCAAGGAAATGTAAATCAAAACCACAATAAGATAACACCTGGCATTTGTTAGGGTGGCTATTATCAAAAAATCGAAAATAAATGTTGGCAAGGATATGGAGAAAAGGGAAACATACATGTTGGTGGGAATGTAAATTGGTATAGCCCTTGTAGAAAACAGTATGGAAGTTCCTCAAAAAATTAAAAATAGAACCACCATATGATCAGGAATCTCATATCTGGGTATCTATTCAAAGAAATTATAGTCATTATCTCAAAGATAAAGCTGCCCTCCCATGTTTATTGCAGCTTTATTCACAGTAGCCAACATGTGGAAACAGCCTGAGTGTCCATCAGTGGATAAATGGATAAAGATGTGAGAAACACACACACAATGGAATATGCAGTCTTTTAAAAAGAAGGAAATCCTGCAATTTGCAACAACATGGGTCAGTCGGGAGGACATCCTGTTAAATGAAGCAATGCAGACACAAATACAAATACTGCATGATCCCACTTATATGTGGAATCTAAAAAAGTCAAACTCAGTAACTAGAATGGAAGTTACCAGTAGCTGGGGGTTGGGGGGTGGTAGAGGAAATGGGGAGATGGTAAAAGGGTACAAACTTTCAGTTATAAGATGAGTAAGTTCTGGAGACTTAATGTATAGCATAGTTAACTACAATTAATAATTAGTATATATACTTGAAATCTGCTAAGAGTAAATCTCAAGTGTTGTCACCACCCACACAAAAAATGTTAATTAGCTTGATTGTGATAACCACAGTGAATACATATATCAAAATATCACTTGTGTTAAAATATACAATCTTGTCAATTATACTTCAATATTCAATAAAGCTGGGTTTGTTTTTTTTTAATGTTATATTACAATTTAAACACCATAGTTTCATTGTTTTGAAGCTTAACTATTTCTTGAATTTTATTTTTAGTGCTATGGGGAAAAAGAAAAAATAATAGCAACTTTGGGAATAAATCTTTCCCGTCTTTGGGAAACTTAGTTGAAGAAATAACAAAACTAAAGAATTTGTATGATATGGTTGTTTAGTTCAAAAACTACAGAAATATTCTTTAAGGGTAAATTATACATGGATGTATCTAGAGTAGGTGTGGTTAATTCAGTTTTGATATAGGAAAAAATATGCACATGTAATGTAAAGGAACAACAGTGATGCGCTCCTTCCAGAATTTACATATGCCTGCAAAGAAACTTGGTCTTATTTCTATTTAAGTAGAGTGAGCCTTTTAAACATGTTTTGAGTAACACAATGACTGAAATGTACTCAATGATCTTGCAGATGGAATTTGGTTGAAATGAAAACAGTAAAAACATAAGAGGACAGAAGAACTAAAAGCGACAGCTCCTGTCTCAATAAAATAAAGACTTATGGTATGTTTTGAATTTTCTTTTTCAGATTGATCTAGGTAATAATATTATAAACTTAAAAATATTTGCATTCATGTTTCTTCTTAAAGATGAAGTTATAAGCCATTCACTTTATATTGCTTAAGTAGCATCATCTTTGTTGAGCTTGCTTCAAAAAACTGTCTAATGTGTCTTTGTCCAACATATTACCAAGTCAGTTAAATTTAATTTTGGAATTTTGCCTCCCTCAAATAAAAATAGAACATTTGTATAGTTACTTAACATAAGGCCTTCATCATTCCCTCATAAATTTTTTCAAAAAACTGGCTAAGCCCCTTTCTAATGTGTGTCGGACACTGCTGGAAATTGAATTAGAGAAAAAGAATGTATAGAAGCCAGAGAAATATTTTTTAGAGGACTGTTACTGATATGAAGCCATACCATATAACCTTATTACTACAATTCAGTGTGTATTTGGAACTGGAGAAATTTACTCACTTTCATTTTGAAAATCACCCTACAGAGTGGCATAAATGGGATTTGATATTTTGGTGTTTGCTTTTTCATTTAGAGCTATACCTTTAGTCCAGCCATATTGCAATGAATACGTCTGATGTGCTTTCACCACATTTTACCAAGCCACTCCTCTAGTGACGGAAACCTAGTTTTCTAATTTTTTATCATCAAAAATGAAACTTCAGAATACATGTTGGTCTTATGAAAATTCCTTTGCTATATTTACCCAAGAGTAGAATTGCTAGATCATGAGATGTGCAAGTAGTTTGGCTAAGTAGTGCTGCCAATTGCTCTTTGGAAAGGTTGTCCCAGACTATAATCCTTGGTTCCTAAACGGGCTCCTTTAGTCTCCTCACTAACACTTGATATTGTCCAGCTTTCTAATTTTTTACCAAACTAATGAAATAATGTGATATCTCTTTACTCATATGTTTATGGTTTGTGGCTTTTCCCGTTTGTGAATTGGATATTTCTATCCTTTGCCCATTTCTGTATTGATGTTGCTACTTTTTGTTGTTGACTTGTGAACTTTGTTCTTGATGACTTTAGTTCAGTCAAGAAATGATTAATTTTGATGTGATTAAATTTATCATTTTTTGGTTTTGTGATTTACCTTGTGAAAGGTATTTATGTAATGCATTTTCAAGTTAGTATTATTGGTAAAGAAGTTAAGTGTGCCTGGGTTCAAATTCTAACTGTCAGTAGATGTGTGACTTTGGGCAGGTAGCTTAAGCTTTGTGTAAATGAGGACAATAAAAGTACCTATCTTATAAGGTTTGCAGGAGAATTTAAAATGAGTTAACATTTACACAGTTTCTAGAAACCTGGAAAATAGTGAGTGCTATATAGATAAATTAATGAATATTCATAGGTAGGTAATCTCAGATCCAGAAACTTTGTTTGAGCTCTTTTAGTAGCTCTAATTGTTTGTTAGTCTTTTTTTCATTAGATGACCATGTCATCTGTTAGTAGCTTATCTCTTTTCTTCCTGTTCTTAGACCTGTCATTTATTTTTTTATCATAATAACTTTTGGTTCTTTGTCAGTGTCAATCATCATGGTCATCCTTATCTAATTTCATTTCTGAAGGGAATATATCTAAAGTTTCTCATTGAGGATAATATTTGCTGAAAGATTTTTGTCAATAACCTTTATCTAGTTGAGAAACTAACTTTCTTTTGCTAGTGTGGTAAGTGTTTTGCTTTGTTTTTTAAAGCATAAATAGGTATTGATCAGGAACTAACAAAGGTTAAATATCCATAGTTGATTAAATGATGTCTCTTGAGTTTTTGTTTTGGGAAGGGGGGTGTTGCTTTACTCTCATGACTTATATTCAGAAATTTTCTGAAGTTGAAATATTCTTACTTTCCTGGGATAAGCTCTACCTGATTATAACATATTTTCTTTTCTTCAATACATTATTAATCTTATTGGGTAATATTTGGAATTTCTGCAAATGAAATGAGCCTGTACTTATTTGGTCATATCTAGACTTGGAATTAGTATTTTATAATCCTCATAAAAGGAGCTAGTCAGTTTATATACATTTTTCTTTTTTTCTGGAACAACTTATATAAAATAGGTATGAATTTTTTAGGACTTAGTGGAATTCACTAATAAAACCATAGGGGCTGGCCCTGGCTGGTTTTGCTCAGTGGTTAGAGCATCGGCCTGCGGTCTGGAGAGAACCGGGTTCGGTTCCCGCTAAGGGCATGTACCTCAGTTGCAGTTTGTCCCCGGCCCTGGTTGGGTCATGTGGGTGGCAACCACTCGATGTGTCCCTTTCACTTCGATGTTTCTCTCTCTCTCTCCCTCTCTCCCCCCCCCCCTTTCTCCCTCCCTCCCTCCCTCCCACTCTATCTGAACAAAATATCGAAAAATGTCCTTGGGTGAGGATAAAAACAAAAACAAAAACATAGGGGCTGGTTATTTTAAAAGGCAAGTTGTTACCTTTGTATTTTCTTTAATACTTACTAGTTTATTCTATTGAAGTTATCTGTTTCTTCCTGTATGAATTTTAGTATTTTATATCCTTCTAGAATTCAGCCATATCATCTAGATTTTCATATTTTAGCATATATTTGTCATATTTTTAGTTTTAATCTTTTTGTTATTTTTAAATCTTTCTTGGTAGGTCTCAACAGTTTTGCTTTTTTAATTCAAATTTCAGAAAATATCTAGTGTCAGCAATTTTTTATACTGCTATTTTATATACTATTTCATTTATGCCTTTATTATTTCCTTCCTGCTTATTTTGCTGTTACTCTTTTCATTTCAATTGAATTCTTAACTTGTAGACATTTAAACTTCCTTGTTTTCTCATCAGTGTATTCAAAGCTATAAATTTCTTTCAGGTACTGATTTGATTATGTCCCATCTTGCAGGTGGTCTATGTTATTCTGTTTTAATCTCTTAATATTCTCTATAATTTCCATTTTAACCCCTGAGTTGTTTATGTCCAACATAGCTTTACTTTTAACTAACATTTAATATCTGCTTTTATTGCATATGATCAGAGAATTTAGTCTGAATGAAATGACCCTTTGGAATCTAGTTATATTTTATCTGATGCATGCTCCATTTGTCTGTGTGTACATTCAAATATTTATTGTTTGATATTGCTCTATTTACTTATATAATACACAAAGTATATTAATATTTTAACTGTTTTTCATGCTTTTTTGTATCCCTGCTTATATTTCCCCCTTCAGTTCTATCAGTTGTTACTTGAGAAATCATGAGTATGTGTTTTCAAATGCATATATGATAAGTACAGCAGGTCCTCGAATAACGGTACTTTTTTCAATGTCACTTCATTGATGAAATGCCACAGGAATTTAACTCTTGTTTATATCAATTTGCCTATGATTACACCATTTCATTTACAGTTGCAGAGCTATTAATGACTTAAGTGAGGATTTAAGTGTATATCATTTTATTCATTTTCTTTTACCAGTATTTTATCATACATCTCTGTCCCTTATAATTTTTGGCTTAAAATCTTTTTTTTGTTACATCTTAAAATTGCGATCCCAACTGTATTTGGGGCCACAGTTGCATGATACATCATTTTTTATCTTTTTATTTTTTACCTTTCTGTGTCTTTTTGCTTTAAAATGTCTTTTGTTTGCAGCATATTAATGAATTTTGTTTTGTTTTTTAATCCAGTCTGAGTGTCTGCCTTTTTATTGTGAGTTTAACCTGTTTACATTAAGTGTAATTTCTATTGTATTAAGATTTATGCTTGCTATCTTCTCATACGTGTAGAGTATGGTTCTATAACCACAACCTCTGGAGTACCCGCAAGAGTCCTAATATCTAGTAGTTCTACAAGCAGGACAGGAGTCCTAAAACTAATCCCACCAAGCATATCTAAAGGAACAAAAATATATAAAAGAGTTTTTGGAGCTCTCTATTTGTAGTTTGGGACATAAGGGATCTGCTTTAGCATAAGTAATTTTCTGTGCTAGAACTGCATATTTTAAAACAAACTGGCCCGGATATGTACCAATAAAGGATTAAAATAGCCCAGGCTCTCCTTCCCAATTTTGTTATTTTAGGAGCCATTCCAGTAGGAAAAATCTGCCTAAGCCTAAGAGATAGAGATGGAAAAGCCAAGAAGGCATCTCGTTTAGCATCCATGTTCTTGGATTCTCATAGTTAAGTGAACCATAATTGTTACCTAGTGCTTTCAGGCTTTAATATCATGTGTCTAGTCTTCTCATTCACAGGTGAAGGCTACCTTTCCAGATAGACCAGCAGCTAAGTCACCAGTTTCCAAGGGTATTTGCACCACCTGTGGAAAACATCAGTTCCATGCTCACCAGATGTCCTTGACAACTCATGCCGCCATCCCCCTGCACAAAATTTGCTGCACCAGCAGGCTATGAAGGCAACCACTGAGCTTCTTTTCATTACCAAGTAGATATAATTTCCCTGACAACAAAACACAAGTGTCTCTTTACAGTATCACAACCTGTTGAGACCACACTAAGAAAATCAGCTTGCCTACACGAGGACCCCTTCTCTTCTTGGGTAGCCAGGATTTAAAGGAGAGACTCTGACCTGTGCCACTGGTAAGTGACTAACACTTTTACACACTGAACTGGTCCTGAAAACTGAGATGCCTTCTTTGTAAGTGAAGAATATACAAGATAATCTCGAAGAACTGCACGTGGTGCAAGCCAGAGTCATATTGTGTGTATAACAGACTCAGAAACAGGCAAGTTAATCTCATTAAAAGGAATTTTCATTTTTTGTTTCTATTTGCCAGTGTTAGTCAGTGTTTTGCTGGCTTTAACTGTTACCTTTTTCTGGCTGCTGCTTCTGTTCTATTCTAATGGGTCCCTCTCCTGACCGCTTAACAGAATCAGAAAGTGAGGAAGAAGAATATGCTAACTACCTAATTGAGAGTTTGGGGGAAGAGTGGGATTCCTCTGAAGAAGAGGATCCTGTGGTGCCCAACCTAACACCTCTTGAGAGTCTTGCCTGTCAGGTTAAGTGCCTTTTAAAATATTCAACTACTTGGAAACCTTTAAATCCTAATTCCTGGTTATATCATGCTAAACTCTTAGATCCAAGCACACCAGTCCATATACTTCGAGAGATAGGTCTAAGACTCTCCCATTGCTCCCATTGTGTACCCAAACTGGAACCCATTCCTGAATGGCCACCTCTGGCTTCTTGTGGAGTGCCACCTTTTCAAAAGCCCCTGACAAGTCCCAGCCGGCTTTCTAGAGACCACGCCACTCTAAATGGAGCACTGCAATTTGCCACCAAACAGTTAAGCCGAACCTTGAGTAGAGCCACTCCTATACCTGAATACCTAAAACAGATTCCTAATTCATGTGTTTCTGGTTGTTGCTGTGGCTGGTTAACTAAAACAGTTAAGGAAACAACCCGCACTGAACCTATCAACACCACTTACTCTTACACTGACTTCCAAAAGGCAGTTAACAAACTCCTAACTGCATCACTATAAAGACCCACCATTTGTTCTGATATCTCTTATCTCTCATGTTTCTAATTGAGAAAGGAGTACAAAGTTACACAGCCCAGACCTAAGAAAAAAAAATGCCTCCTCAACCAAACTGCCCTGTCCTGACAAGCCGAAGTACTACCAAGTACAGAATATTTATTCAAGAGGCCCATAACTCAGCTACAGAAAATGTACATAGTGAGCATTCTCTTTGACAAACCCTATGGATAAAATGTGAACTTCATTAGAGAATTAGTCAAAAGGGACCATGTTGCAAGAGAAACTGACTATTCTCCACATTCAGTTCTCCCCCTATTTACTCTGCCTATCTGAATGGACTCTAACTAGATACCTTATTAATGGGAAGGAAAAGGTAGGCTACTACCCCTTTTGTTGTCCAACCTTCACAAGTCACTGTGAAAAATGGGAAGTTAGCAACTACCAGTTAAACCTCTCTGAGCATACACTTCTCTGATATTCATTAAATTAAATAAATAGATAAAAGAAAATGGTGGGTATGAATTATCCCCCAGCTTTTATATGAATAGTTCTACATATGGCACTAAACAGATACCTGTTCTATAGGGAATGTATTTCCTGCATCTTGGCACCCAGACTTTAGTTAAGAGGAAATAAAACATTCCAAAAGACCAAAGGGAAAGGATTATTAAGAGAGCCTTTATGTTTTCTATACTAACTGCTGGTAGATTAAAATATTTCAGTTTGTATGTTTCCTGGAGCAGCACTGAATGCACTTTCCCATCCATTGCAAAGTTTCCAGGATCGCTTCTAACTTTAAAGAACCTTACTACAGAAAATGTCAGCCTAATACAACCTGAAGTTAGAATTTTTTAGTATCATTGTTTTTCTACATAGATTAGTTTTAGATCTGAACTAGCAAGTGTAGGTACTCTTGTAAATGAGTCTTGCAGTGTTTATTTAGATGAGTCAAAATGTAGAAGTCACCACAAATAAAATGCGTGAGACTGTTAGATCTTTTCACACACATATAATAAAGAGTGAAACCTGTGTATGATCCTGGTTGACTGGGCATCTAAAGGATTCAGAAAATAGATTGTTAAAGATATATATCCCCACTTATTTCAGTTTTGCTTTTACCTATTCTCCATAACTAAGTGCTGTCTACAATGTGGCATCAAATAAAGCATTAATGGAATCACAAAGTCTATAAATGTGTAGCAACTTTAGGAGAGAGAAAAATGTTTATAACCTAATGAGTATTTCTCCTGAGCCTTAGTTGTCTTAAGGAAAAAAAGGAGGCATTGTAATAGGTAGAAAGAAATATTTGTTAGTGGAAAATTACTGAACTGAAACCGTATCATACTGTTAGTGTAACTGAATGTATCAGAAACTGTTCCTATGTAGATGTTTTCTGTGAAACTGGTTTTTAAAATGTTACAGCCTGTTTTTTAAGGGGAAGTGGGAAAAATAGGTCTAAAAATTAAAATATGTTGATGTTTATGTAACCATAATATGTTCCTTTCTGTGTGTGTGTGTGTGTGTGCGCGCGCACACGTGCGTGCATGCGTGCGTGTACGTGTATGTATAAAAATGCCTTGCTCATAAACACATTTTTGCTATTCACTCCTAAAGGAAGCCTTTCCCCAGCTTTGCGGCTGAATAAACCAATAGCTTTGTACATGCTGAACAGAGTATGGTCATTTATTCTCAACAAATGAAATAGATCCTACTTTCCTCAAGGCATATTCAGTATTCACTAAGTGCTGAATAAAGTCAGTAGATATAGTACCTGTATCTGTACAGTGTCTATGATAGGAGGTGACTTGGCAACTCTAGAAAAGAAGCATACTTGAAGAAGATAAGGTGAGATGTCAAGACCCAGACTTGAACCCATTTGTTTACATATTAAGTAATTCTGGGTTACACAAAAGAATGAACACCTGAATAAGCCTTAAACTTTTACTTCTTTTTGTGTGCCATGGATGTGGGGTTAGGGGTGAATTTACCACTTTCATACCCTATGGGGGCCTTTGGTTAAATGTCACCATAATTAGGATGAAGAAGAGCACATTTATTCTCTATAGAAATATTTATCAAAGGACTAAGGAAACAGGATTTCTAAACTAAGGGACATTAATGTTATTTAAAGGTATTCTCTCACACAGACAGGCAGCCTCTTTTTGTTGACGCTGTCCAAATACCTTGAGCCCAGAAGAACACAGTCATGTATTTTAAACCCATCAGCTTCCTAAGAAAGAAAAAAAATCAATGAATTGCAGGAAGACAGATGTTAGATCAGATTTAGGGGATTATACTTCGGAGCTCCTATCACAACTGTCCACCTAAAATAATTGCTCTCATGAAAACAGTGTATTGATATTAGAGCAGAATGTTAGAGCAATTTACGGACCTTAGAAGTCACTTGGGTTATTTTCTCACTGATACATACTCTTCTATCTTTAGTAAATGATTTTCTGGTTTTTGGCTCCAGTGTTAGAGAACTCAGTATCTTTTGGAACAGCCCATTAGTTTTAAATATTGTGTTAGAAATTTAGTCATTCATCAAATAATTTTAGGGAATGCCTATTGCAATCCAGATACTGGGAGTGAGTGCAAAGTTAAATAAGATACTATACATAAGAAATTTGTTTGAAAATATGTTGAACCAAAATAAATTATTCCAAAGCTCTTGGCCATTGATGCTATTTCTGCTCTCTGGTCACATTAAATAAGCCCACTCTTTATCCAGGCCCTTAAATATTTGAAAGCGAGGCAGCCATCCAAATGTGGTGTAAATTCATGTGCAACGCATACTCCAGCATAAAACCCTGCAAGGGAAAGTCAATAAGGGTATAAATAAAATAAATAGGTGTTTGTTTTTTACACAGATTTAAGTTGTGTGTGCTAAGTTCACAAGGCAATGGCATACCAAGATCAGGGCCAGAAATATTTTCCTCATATGGCTGGGATACCTGTCTATAGATAGGCAGACAGGTAGACAGACAGACAGATAGATGGTAGATAGCCTGAAAATCTGGATAACTTCTGACTTCATGAGACAACTTTGTACAAGCTACTGGCATAGGAGTCCACCAGTGAGCAATATCCACGGGACTGCAGGAAAACTGAGGGAGTTATACTAGGTGACACAGACTACTAGGTATTTCTTTTGTGTCAGCTTGCTGTTACCAAAAGGAAAATTATGGTCCCTCTGCCAATTATAAACAAATTTTAGTTAATGGCTCTATATATGAGTCTGATCATTGTATTCAGTCTTCATGTTCTTTCAACTGGTGGCAGCTGTGGGATTATATAAAAGCTTTGGAAGTGAAACCAAGAAAATGGAAGGAAAGGGATACCACAGTGACCTGACACTAGCTACCCAGCTCCTGTTCGCTGTGAGCTATGACAAGCTCTTCACAGATACGGGAAAGGATTGCCGGATTTAAAGATAATTTAAAATGATGTGGCAGGCATATAGTACTAGATTTGTTGCTTACAAACAGCACAGAGTTGGCTGTTAAAATGTTAATGATAGTTCAAGGTTGGAATATAAAAAGTTGACTGGCATTTAAGTGATTTATTTGGGAAGACAGATGACCCCAACACATGATATGAAAATCCCTAGGATCATTTGGAAAGTGATGCCCTATTTTCTGGACTGGGACATATCAGTAATCATCTAGGATACTCAGGATCCTAATTGGCCAAGCAAGATTAAAACTTGGTTCCTAGTATACACAGAAACCAAGCTGATATGGTGTCAAATTAGATCTCAACAGAAACCAGGTGGAAGAGGCTTACTGTTGGTAAATTAAGGAGCTGGTAATGTATTCCTTTTTGAGGGAAATTATGTTTAGAATAACTGCTAATCCCTTATTCAATATTACCTTTCCAGACATAGATTCAACTGTGGAACCTGATGCTCTGTTCCAATGTATCAACTAGTGTTTCACAATGTATTAATTAGGCAGTGGTCCAGTGGGAGCAACTTCCTGTAGAAGGTACCAAAGAACTGGAACACTCTAAGGGTATGGCCATGTTCCATCAAAAAAGGCCCTGGATTGGCTTTATGATTGCACCCTGAGCAACCAAAATGACTTGGTAAGGTGGCAAGAGTTCCAGTGACACAATTAAGAAGCCAACCACAACCCAGAGAACTAAATTCCTATCTTAATTGAAAGCATTAATGTTAGCCACAGCCTATGCATTCCATGGGGACTTACTGCAAAGTGGATTATATGGTGTTGGCCCCTGGCTACCTGCCTGGTAGTAATGTAGAATTTCCCAGTGGCTTGACTGCTTTGGTCCAGATTCCCAATTTCCTTCTTTGAATCCAGCTTTTCTTTTTTATGTTGGTCATCAAATTCTGACACATTGTTTCTTTAAATGTGTTGGGTTACTAGGTTTAGCAAATATAAAAGCAAGACACCCAAATAAATTTCACTGTCAGATAAAAAATGATATATAGGACATACACTAGAAAAAATAATAATTCATTATTTTTCTGAAATTTATATTTAACTGGCATCTCGTGTTCTATCTGGCAGCCCTATAAATGTGTTGGTAGCATTGATTCAGCTTGGGTTGTAGTCATGGAATTGTTCCCAGGGAACTGTATGGTTCTTCCCATTATGTGTGTTTTCTGACTTCCAAATACTTAATGGGGGGAGAGGGAGGTTAACACATAGTTGACACAAGTTTCAAATGTTACAGAGAGGTAGAGAAGGAAGACCAATTGCAGATGTGAAAGTTTTTATGAAAGACATTGTATTAGGCTAAAGTAAATAATCACATAACCATTAAAACATTTCCAGGCATTTTTACGGTTTTTAAAATGCTGTCTCAATAATAAGTAGATTGTTGTTTCCTCATTTATTTGTGTTTTAAGCAGTTAACTTTCTCAATCTTCTTTGCCATGAAGGGAAAAATAAAGTATTTTTAAATTTTAACTACTTGATAAGTAGCACAGTTCTGGCAGCTATTCTTCATTGCAGGAAAGGTCCAAAGATTTGGATCACCTAATTTTTCCTTCCAGAACTCCCCCCCCCCCCCAAAAAAAAAAGACTCAAGGTTTGAAGCACAAGGTACCCTGGAAGGTGAGAGTGAGCAGCAAAGTTGGAAGCAAGGGGATTATTTGAAAGTTTATCGTGCCCTCCTTTTGTAGCCAGGTGACTGTACATCTTTCTAGCCTAAGATTAGAGACTTATTTCTGGAGAAATTGGACCAAAATCCCAGTCAGACTTAGAAGTGGGACCTGGGGGAAAGTGGCAGTGAAGTGCTGTACTGAAAACAGATGAGGGAATGCCTATTCTGAGCATTATGAGCCACCAACCCCTTTAGTCCACCCAGCTACGTTACCTGGCAGTCAGGCTTATACCTGGCCCTGTCCACCCAGTCCAGAAAGATGAACAATTAAACAGCTGGTCACTTTATTATTTGTTACAGTGAAACCCAGAGCCCACAAGCCCTGCTTATTCAGACACGGCTTTTGGTCACTTGAACTCACCATAAACTGATAGCCAAGAATCATTAGACATTTGAGGATACTTTCAACAATGCAAGATGAAGATGAATACCAAAACAAAAGAACTTGGGGGGGGGGGCACTGGAAATAATGCAGGGAACATAAAACTCCCAAAGAAGCTGTAATATTCTCAAAAACTTAAAAGAATGTTTGCATCCATGAAATAACAGGATGCTATTTAAAAAAATGAACAATTAAATAAGAGCATTGGAAAAAATAGAGCCAAACTTAAACATTCAATAGATATATTGGAAGATAAGCTGAAAGTTTTTCAGAAAGTAGAACAGAAAGGCAGAGATGGAAAATAGGAAAGACCAAAATGGGAAATTAGATCAGAATGGGATATGACGTGATTAATAAGAGCCTCGAAATGGGAGAACAGAAAGGAGGTAAACAGAAAACAAACTTAACATTTCCCAAAAACGTAGGACATGAGTCTCCTAAATTTAAAGGATTCACTGAGTGTCCAGCACAATGAATTAAAAAACACACCATGATATTTCAAGGTAACAGGGTTAAAGATTCTAAAATTTTCCCAAGGGGGGAAATAAGGTTTACATAAAAGGATGTTTGCAGAATAGCATTTAAACTTGGCAGCAACACGGGATGTTAGAAGACTATGAAAGCAAGGCCTTCAAATTTAAGGGGAAAAATTAATTCTAATCTAGAGTCTGTATCCAGACAATCCAACTACGTATGGGGCTAAAATAAAGGTTAGACTTGCATGATCTCAAACTTTTACCTTACCATGTACCCTTTCTTAGGAGGCTACTGGAGGATGTGCTTCACCAAAACAAAGGAGTAATCTAAGTAAGAAGGCATGGGATCCTGAGAACATAAGATCTCACAAAGGAATGCAATGAAAGAAAGTCCCAGGATGACTACTGTGTCAAGTAAGTAGGATGGGGGTTTAGGAAGTAGGTCTCCAGAAAACATGGAACAAAGTGAGTATATGGAAAATGTAGACAAGAATGAGACAGATATTGAGAAATTAGGAGAAAATAATAAGATAATTACATAGAAGACTGGGTTAATGATAAGACCATTAGAAATACACCAAATACACATTTTTGGATGTCACTGTCACAAAAGTAAATCTGAAATTTTATTTTTAAAATGTAATTATTACAGTTTTAGTAGTCCCATGAAAAATATAGAACAATTGTAGTATTGTCAGCAAATTGATTGATCCTTCGGGTATCATACAACACAACTGCAATAGGTGCTCACCTTCAATAAGATGTGCACTGCAGAAATTTTTTTCAGAAAAATATTAGTCAATAATTTGTTTTGTAAAAGAAGCTATATCCTTTGCTTAGGCAAGTCTCAAAAATTTTTAGTTATAGAAATAATGCATAAGCTACAGCAGTAATTTCAACAAGTTTTTCATTTAGATTTTACCTTTGTAGGCTCAAAAGCATAATGAATTACCTACTTCTTTAAAAATAATATGTTGAAATTTCATAGTTTTTCATCTTTTGCTATCAAGATATAGTTATATCCAGTGACAGATCCAAAGTACATTCCTATATAATACTTTATATTTTTTCTTATGAGTTAGGGTTGAGGGTTTTTTTCTACTTTGTTTAAAATACTATAACATATTCTCAGAATAAATTTTGATTTAATTGCAAATGATTGTGTGGTGATATGGTTTTTTTCTTTGTCATCAAATGCATTGACTAAAACATGCCAGACCAATTTGTCCATCTGCTTTTTAAGTAAGAAATAACATACCTAGAGTAAAATACATAAAATGCACTAATCATAAGTGTATTTGATGGTTTTTCACATGTACACACTCATATCAAGATGTGTACACTCAGATCAAAGGAACAAAAAGTTTCTGATTCCCTAGCACCCTTTCCCGGTCTATACCTCCCCCAGAAATATCCACTCTTCTCTTAAATATCAATTACTTTTGCTTGTTCTCAACTTCATGTGAACGAGATCATGTATCGGTTTATGCTTAGCTTCCTTCATCAACATAATATATGTGATTCATCCAAGTATTGGTATTGGTATCGGTGGTCCATTTTTTATCGCTGTTGACTGTTTCATTGTGTGAATTTGCCTTAATTCATTTATCAATTTACCTGTTGATGGCATTTGAGTTCTTTCCAATTTTTGGCTATTGCACATAAAGCTACTATAAGTATTCTTGTACCTGTGTTTTTGGTGGGTATGTGTACTCATTCCTCTTGGGTAAAATCCCTAGGAGTCAAATTACTGTGTCACAGGGTAGGTTATGAAGCAGAAAGACATAGAGGGAAATGACAAGGCTTGTTTGCATCATTAAAGCAATTTTTAAGGTGGGGTCTGGTACCGTCCACAACAGCATCACTGAAGTGATTGTTTAAAATGCCTTACTCAGATCCCGGTCTGTGTGGCTCAGAGGACTGAGTATTGTCCCATGGACTAAGAGGTCCTGGTTCTATTGCCAGTCGGGGCCCAGCTTGTAGGCTCTATCCCTGGTGTGGGGGGCATGCAGGAGGCAGCTGATTGATGTTTCTATCTCTCTCTCCCTCCCTCTCTAAAAAAAATCAATAAAAATATATTAAATCAAAATTTCTGATGTGTGGAGTCATAAATATTTATTTTTAACAAGCTCCTGATAATGTTTTATGTTTACCAGAATTTGTGAAATTCTAGCTCCATGTCAATATTCTGGACGATACTTAGATTTGTGTTGCAGACACTGTAAATGATTCAAATTTTTTTTTTTTAAAGCAGTGCCCAATTCCAAAAAGGGAAATTGAGAAATGGCCTTGTTGAAATATTCAACAATACATAGTTCATCCATATTGCCAATACTTAATTCAGTTAAAACCATTTGCTGTTTCCTCCAAGTACAGAGCACTCTACTGCTTTGTAATAAATGGAATTAAAAAGCTTCAGTTCCATTTTGTTTTTGCATGTTGGAGAATTCTATTGTTTAATTACCTTTGAACTCTAGAAAAAGACCAGAAAGGCAACACTGTTGAGCTGCCAAATCCATTGCCTGCCTATTTACCCTAAGGTGAAGTCTAATGTACTTTGCAAATTGGTTGTTAAATTTTTCAGGTACTGGAAAGACTACTTGTGCCATTGACTGCCTTTAGCCCATGTCCTCACCCCTTTATCCCTGTGTTTCACACCTTTGTTACCACTAACAATTTTAGGTAGGAATAAGGAAAAAAAAATGGCTATCAATGCTAGAGTTCCTAGACTCGCATTGCCCACATACTGTTCCCCAAACAATTTGTGGAGTGCTTGGTGATCATATGAATGTTTACTATAATCTGGTTATAATTTTGCCACAAAACATTTTATTCCAAAATGTCTTGTGCCGTGGTGTTATGTCAATGTACTGTAATTTCAGTGCAAATGTCAATATGTTTCCTTTTTATCTTCCTTCTGTGGGAAGACCTGATGGAAGACATCAGATGTAAGACCTGATACCAGGCTAAGGATCACGGAAACCCCAGTGCTAGTTAATATGGGTTTGGATTACTGTAAAAGCATAGTGCCAGATTAAGCTGTGTGTTCATCTCTTGAATTTTTCACTCAAAAAAGGGAGATGTTTAACAGAAAACTGTAGCTTTCAAAAATAAAATGATATAGGTGCTGTACAGAAATGCAAAGCGATGACCATATGTTAGGGGCATGCAAACTAGTCTGAAAGATGAGTAGGAATAGGTTGGACGGAGTAGGGAAAATAGCCTTCCAGGTGAAAGGGTTAAGTGAAATACTCAAGAATGTGATTTGTGTTTAGGTGAATAGTAGAAGTATATTAGCAGTAATAACAATAATACAGTTACTCATGCTACTTAACTGTTTAGGAAAAATATTACTAAGCAAAGTCTAAAAGATTACCTTAGAAAATTTCTACTGAAGAAACCACCTAAGCCTGCACTTAGACTATCAGTGTGGTAAAGATGAATTATTCAATACCTGTTGTGTCAACTGCTTAGCCATCTGGAAAAACATAAGTCTTACCAGCTTCACTCCATATATCAACATAATTCCAAACTAGGAAAAAGAAGTGTAAACATCTTTTTAAAACATGAAACCATAAAATGTTAAGAGAAACTAATCTTGGATGGGGAATGCCTTTCTAAGTATGATGCAAAAACCAGAAAATATAAGAAAAATATCAATACATAGATATGCCTACGTAAAAATATTTATAGAACATAAGGAAACTAAAATAAATTACTAATAAATTGCTTGTATATTATAGGCAAAGTGCTAAAAGCCCCTACAGAAAAAAATCTTGGAATAAGCGTTAAAAATTATTTAAAAAGACAATTTAGGGGATAAAAACAAACTTTAACCCTTCATGAAGGGGAGACTCCATTCAGAGAACTGCAAAATGGAGCAGTAGGCAGGAAGCTTTCCTTAGGATAAAGAATAAAGAACAAGAAAGAGACAAATAGAAAAATATCTCATTATCTAGGATCACATAGTCAACCTTGTTTGGGGCGAGAGGGAACAAGGAAATAAGTATAGAGCCCAGAATTGGCTTGGTGTTTGGGGACTGACTGACTGGATACACTGCTCTCTGGTCAAGCGGAACATTCATAGGGACACAGTTATCTAAGTTTCGGTTTGCTGACCTGGCACCCTGGGCAGGAGCAGCTCCATCCTGGGTCTAGAAAGCTATTTCAACAGAAGGAAGAAAGATAAGCAAAAGCAATATACATAAGGTTTAATTCCAACAACTGATCAATTTGTGGAAAGGTGTTCCAACAGCCCTACTAATAAACAAATGGTGTAGGGGTAGACACTTCACCTATTTGAAGATATATCAAGGTCAGTAGTGGCTAGTTTAGGCAAGGATATGGGAAAACTTGCATTTTTATGCATTCCTAATGAGTGTAAAATGGTGTAACTATAGAGAACAGTATAACAAAACATATCAACATTTAAAATTTGCTAACTCTTTGAAACTGGTTTATTCTAGGATTTATTCCTATGGAAATATTTGCACATCTGTGCAAAGATCCGTGTAGGATGTTATCTTGATGCAATGATACCTATTATCAGGCAGGCTCTCCTAGATGTCACAGACAGGAAACTTTACATCCCAAACTAAAATGCTCAAATCACTTGGTTTATAGAATCACTTTTAAATAGAAGTCAGTTGGAAAGTATAGTGAAGGTTAAGACATTTAAGATAGGATGTCAGGGAGGTGAGAGGTCCCCGTGACCTGAATCCTGTGTTATGCAGTGTTGTTACATCTTGTCTGCTGCTCCAGCCTTCACTTCTGATAGTGTGATTATGAGAACCACAGCTGAAATTGAAAAGGGGGGCTGAGCAGACGGAGGATGCCTCTAGTCAATACGTCCTTGCTCTGTTGGAAATGTGCAGGGGCAAGTATGCCTGGTTAGCTGCCTGCTGAGAACCTGTGTTTCTGAGGCAGAACATACACAGGGCCAGAATTGGTGTCAACAGTGAATGGCATTTTAGGGATGTTATGGCTATCAGCCTGCAGGTGGCATCATGTTTACCTTACCATTCATTCTTTCCATCTTTTTCTGTTAGTAACACTCTTTTTTGTTCCATTCTTTTTACATAAATTCCATTAAATTTTTATCATGTCTTACAGTATATCTGTAACACATGTTAAGAATTCTTTCTCATTTGAGTCTCATGTATCTTTTGTGTTTTTCCTGTTCTTTAAAACAACTGAGTCTTCTCATGATATAGCAAACAATTATAAACATATATGCAACATTTTGCTTAAAATATAAAAATATAGCCCTGGCCAGTTTGGCTCAGCAGTAGAGCGTCGGCCCGTGGACCAAAGAGTTGCAGGTTTGATTCTGGTCAAGGGTACATACCTCGGTTGCGGTTCATCCCCAGCCCTGGTCAGGGTCGTGCGGGAGGCAACCAGTCGATGTGTCTCTCTCCCTTTCTCTCCCTCTCTCTCCCTTCCACTCTATCTGAAGATAAACAGAAAAATATCCTCAGGTGAGGTGTAAAATAAGTACAGAGAGAGAGAGAAGAAAGAAAAAAGGAAAGAAGGAAGGAAGGGAGGGAGGGAGGGAGGGAGGGAGGAAGGAAGGAAGGAAGGAAGGAAGGAAGGAAGGAAGGAAGGAAGGAAGGAAGGAAGGGATAAATATGTTGTAGTTGTATATAATGGAATACTGGCTGTTAAAAATGAGAATGATCTTTTTTTTTTTTTTTTTTTATCCTCACCCGAGGACATTTTTCCATTTTTTGTTCAGGTAGAGTGGGAGGGAGATAGAGGAACAGAGAGAGAGAGAAACATCGATGTGAAAGGGACACATCGAGTGGCTGCCACCCGCACGACCAACCAGGGCCGGGGACAAACTGTAACCGAGGTATATGCCCTTAGCGGGAACCGAACTCGGGTCTCTCCAGACCGCAGGCCGACGCTCTAACCGCTGAGCCAAACCGGCCAGGGCTATAATTTTATATATATATATATATTTTTTTTTTATTTTTTTTTTGAGAATGATCTTTAATGGCAAAAGAAAAAACTTGTCCATTTTAGATTAAATGAATAGTGTTCAAAAACATTTACAGCACCCCATTTATGTTTTAAATATACATATGTGTATGTAACATTTTTGAGGTACAGAGAAATGTCTGGAAGGAGCTTGTCAAAATAGTAACAGTATTTGTCTTTGAGTGGGATTTGGGGTGATTTTTGCTTTCTTTGTTTTTTTGTTTTGTTTTAATTCTCACCCGAGGACATTTTTGCATTTAACTTCAGATAGAGCAGGAGGGAGAGAGGGAGGAAGAGAGAGAAACATCAATGTGAGAGAGGAGAGATACATCGAGTGGTTGCCACCCACATGACCCCAACCAGGGCGGGGACAAACTGCAACCAAGGTACATGCCCTTAGCAGGAACCGAACCCAGGACTCTCTGGTTCACAAGCTGACACTCTAACTTCTGAGCCAAACCGGCCAGGGCGATTTTTGCTTTCTTATACTCCTTTTTGTATTATTACAGGTAAAATGGAGGAGGGTGCTACAAGAAGCTTATATTTTCATAATCTAAAGAAAAAACAAGTCATTTCTGGTTTTTATAATTTTCTATCGCCAGCATTTTGCTATAGAAAGATTAGCCTTTGAAGTCATATCAACCCAGATCCATTTATTAGCTGCATAAAATCGGTTTCTTAACCTCCATTAGCTTCCATTTTCTAGTCCATAGGAGTGAGGATAATGAGTATCTTAGAGGAGGTAAGACATGCAAAGGGCATAGCACAATGCCAAGATCACCTTAGTGGGCTAATAAATGTTCTTCCACCCCCTTATTTGATAGAGTGCGGACTCCTCTTCTGCCCCTTCATTTCATTCCTCGTAGTGTGAAAGGACCTGCTAATCACAATGCTAGAAAAACCCCAGCAGCTGCAGAAGACTTTCCAAGACAAATCAGCTTGTGGTACCAAGAGTAGCTACTACCAGTAGCTGCCGTCCAACACGCCTGATAAGGGAATCTGATTTTCCCACTGTCTTCCCTTATGAAGCTGAAAGCATAGTATAATATTTTCTATTGGAAAATACTTTGGACCCTGGACCTGATAAGATTATATTTAAGTAACTAAAACTTGGGGTTTGACTGCAATATTACTGAACTTGGTGCACATATGGTCATCTAGAACAGTGGTTCTCAATCCTGTTCAGACCCAACATCCCCCTTTTTATAATATTCATGTTCCTATTTGAAATTTAGATAATTTTTAAACAGTTGCACACATTTTTAAAGTCAGTGTAATTTCTTGACAGCAACATAAAGGAGAAATAAAAGGAAAATGATTATAGTTAAACCATATGCACTTCAACATCGAAATGTTCTGGTTTGATTAACTGTGACATTGTAGTACACAGATGCTTGCACATACAGACTCACCACGAATGCAGCAGTTGTAATACAAATGTGTTAGATTGGCAGCCAAATACCATGAGTCATGTGACCATTGATGATATTTTCCAAAATGGTGAACAGCTTTTGGTAAAGGTCGGGACCAAAAAGGCTAATTTCCCTTTATAGTTTACCCACTTGCTGAATTCCTGTAAAATTTAGTATGTATTAACACCCTGCAGAAAAATACTCTGAATATACAACTTGGAGTTCAGTAGAGAGCTTGTGTAAAATATGGATTCCTGAACTCCCACTTCCAGAGAGTTTTGACTCCAGGAGTCTAGGACAGGGCCCAGAATCCACATCAACGTGGCAATGATTCTGATTCAGGCATTCTGTTTTCTAAATGAATTGTGGGAGGGGTGGTTGTTCTAGAAGAGGGAAACTAACATGATAAACAAGGAACCCAAAACTCAGATTGATCATTCCTATGTAGTGTTGTGTACTGGGGTGGAAATAAGGCATTTAGAATAGGAGTATCTCAGTTTCAGACACAAGTCTGCTACTTGTAATTGCCCTACTTGGTGCACATTTTTTGTATCTATTCCCTCATCTATAAAAATGGTTATTGTTACCTGCAGCGTGAAGGGAGGGGATTGTGGTTCCTGAGACTCTTTGAACCTTTCTTGCTTTATTTGTCAAGATTATTAAAACTCTTGGTATGAGGCAGTTTGTAAAATGAAATATTTTAACCATGCTAATTGTTATTATGATGATGACGCTATTCACACGTTCGGAAAATCTGAATGGGGTGCCATCACTTCCCTAAAAGCCCCCTATTTGAAACCAGAGAAACCAAGCTACAAAGAAATTCAGCCCGCTTATGTCTCCACTCATCAAACAAACTAAAAGACACAAACTCGAAATCCAGGATCATGGACAAGGATGAGTCACTTCACTTTCACTTCGACTTTCAGCTCCATCTATGACTCGATTACTCCTCCATTCTTCTTTGCCTCCTCCTCTCCCACACCTGCCACCATCCTCTCCATCTTTCTATTTACTTTCTCTGCGCTCCTACCGCTTCCCGCACTGTGCGTTCTCATCCCGGGTTTCAGTCCCCAGCTTCACCGCCGCCCCTTTGGCTTCTTCCCTTTGTTTGGTGATTCCGGGCAATCCCCCCCGCAACATTGGGGCTCCTCCCCAAGATGGGGGTAGTGGGGGCTTCCATTTGCAGCCCCCGTGGGGGCCCAAACTGCGCCCCGGACCCCCGCACCTCGTCTAGTTCCCGACACACTCTCACCTCCCCGCCCCTCTCTGACATCCCGCCCCCACCTCCGCCCTCGGACTGGTGTCCGAGGCTCCAAAGCCGCCAGCTAAGAAAGCTGGTGAAGATGCCGAGTTCCTGGTAACCCGGTTCACCCTGCAGCACATCGTCAGGGGCTCCTCCCTGGACTGTGCCCGCCGGCTGCCTGAGGCTGAGGCTGGCTCTTCCTCCTCCTTCGCCAGGGATGCCCACCACGGGCGGAGTCGGTCAGTCGCCGCCGAGTCTGGAGCCAGGCGCCACCCACGTGTCCAAGAGTGCCGCGCCCAGCCAGCGCAAACCTCTCCAAGGCCGGTGGCTCCCGGTCGCGTAAGCTCTGTCAATGCAGGCAAACGCCGCACGGCCTGGGAACTGCGCGCAGATCGCGAGCCGCACGTGGGGGGTCCTCGGCGCCTGGCCGCAGGGTGCGGATGCCCGCAGAGCCAGCCAGCCAGTAAGAGCCCCGGAGGAGGGAGAGTGGGTGCACCGGCGGCTGGGAGGCGGCCACCCGGGGGAGCAGGGGCCACGCGTTGGTGCGGGGTGGTGGGACTGCAGTGCCATCTCTCCCGAGAAAACCCACACGCTCACAAGCCCGCGCGCGCACGCACGTGCACACCGTAGGCAGCGAGAACACGAGAGAGAGCCCCGTGAGCGTTGGACGCGTTTTAGGGATGGCTTCTGCACTCAACAGCAAAATTCACGCACCCGGGACTTGCCCGGGCTCCAAAGCTGATGCCCACGGTAGCGCCTGCTGGAGAATGGACTGCGACCCAGAGATGCACGTGAAAATGTGCAAGAAGATAGCCCAGCTCACCAAGGTAAGGTGAGGCGCTGCGAGCTGGGTACCTGCGCGCCTGGGGTTCCCCGGGCTGGGGAGGGAGTGCGGTCGCGCCGAGGGGAGGCCCAGGCCGAACCCAGGCTGAAACTTTGTCTCGGAGGCCAACCCGGAAGGGAAGCGGTCCTAAATCTTGGTGACTTGACCTTCTGGAGGCACCATCTAAAAGCAGCTGAGAGAGAGGATCCTTGACAAGGAAACTCCTACAGCTTGCGTGCTGAGCGGGTGGTCTGTGCTCCCAAGCTGGGAATGTGAATGGAGTTGAATCTGTGCTGGTGGGGTGGGGGTGGGTGTGTGTGTGTGTGTGTGTTTCCTTTGCCAGCTCCGCTCAAGTGATCGTGCCTGGAATGTTGTGATTTCATTCTTCGCGATACTTTACAGTCGGGGAGGTCATGTGCGCTCTATTTAAACACTCGATTCATTTATTTCTTCTTTCAACAAATATTTGAGTCATTTTTTGAGTGCCAGCAGCTTGCGTGGCATCGTACTAAACCTGGAAGGCAGCCCAGGGGACTTACTATCAAACTGGGTGCGGACGTGTGTAGGAGTATAAATAAGCAAGTGCAGGATTCACCATTTAATTATGGGATTCCAAAGGACCTTGGGAGGTCAGCCAGCCCACCTCCTCACCTCAGCCCAGGGCCCTGATTGAACCTCCATGGACTGTGGTGTATTCCTTATAAAGACCAGAAGATACTGCTCTGCTGTTGATTAACCCTCTATGGCTCCCCAATTAGGAGCTTCTTGCGGTAGGTTCTCCTGGTGTGCCTTATGGGTAGATGGAGAACAGCATCCCTCTCTGCCTTCTATACAAGGCTCCTTGTGCCTGAATTTAGTTGTTTCCCATGGGGTTTCCTTTTGATCTCATAATAAACTCCAGGTTCAGGTTCTGTCCAGTAGTGTTCGGGGCACGGTCTCTTCCCTGACTATTTCCCTCCCACTTCCTACACCCACTTTTTTGGGGGGATCACATGCATTTTCCTCCCTATTTTGGCAGAAAGGAGAGAGCACAGAGACATGGAATTGGACAGTAGCTGCCTTCTTCATACACACACACGCACACATATACACACACACACACACACACACACATTAACTTCTCCACATTCTTTGCACAGGATCCTGTCTCTAAATAGTGATCTCTTTAGTCAAGAATGGAAAAGGGAATGAAGATGGTCCTTGGAGGCCATGGCATGTGCTGCTGTCATCACTGATCTAATCTACATCCATCTACGAAGTGACAGCAACCCCCCAAAATGTATTAATTCAAGGCACTATATTCTCTATCTTCAAAGGATCTAAAATAATTTTGGAGGAACAAGGTTTGGATCAAAAACGAAAAGACACTACTATAAAATCAGTTCCTAAATTGGATATTTCAAATTCTGAGTGCTATAGAAGTAGAAACAAAGGATATAGGTAAGAGCAGTGACAAGGGATTTTGTGGAAGAGATGAATCTTGAATTCATTGTGAATTTATGGAGTACCCACTATGTGCTTAGTACTGAGGGCATAAAACTGACTCAGACAGGGCCTCTGCCCTTGTGCTGTGACACACACATCAACAGATCATTTCAGTAATGTAATCATTTCACTCATTAATATTTATGGCACACCTATTATGTGCCAAGCACTGAAGGTCCAGGAGTGAAGAAAGCGGTTATGGTCCCTAGCACATAGTAGACAGCATGTCTCACAGTATATTTTGCACTAGAAAACACAGTTGATTCTTATTATGTAATGCCTCTTTTTATCATTTTTCATGCTAATTGTTTAAGGGAGACATTTTGATATTGATATGCCACCTTTCTTTTGGCCACTGTTTATATGTCACATATTTCTCATTTCTTTACATTTAATCTTTCTATAAGTTTTATTTTGCTTGTGTCTCTGATAAATGAATTTAATCTTTGTGCATGTATTATGATTACTGATATATTCAGACTATTCTTCCATAATATTTTGTGCTTTTCTTGTTTATAATGATTTTTATTAATTTATTTTTGCTACAGATGTTTCTCCTTTCCCCCCCTCCCCAGACACCCTCCTCCCTATCACCCCCCATCCCCAGCTTTGTTGTCCATGTCCATTGGTTATGTGTACATGCATACAAGTTCTGTGGTTCATCTCCCCCCCCCCCCCAACTACCACCTCTTCTGAGGTTTGTCAGTCTGTACCCTACTTCTATGTCTCTGGGTCTATTTTTGTTCATCAGTTTGTTTAGTTCATTATATTCCACAAATAAGTGAGATCATGTGATATTTGTCTTTCTCTGCCTGGTTTGTTTTGCTTAGCATAATACTCTCTAGGTTTCCATGTGGTCTCAAAGGAGAAGAGATTTTTCTTTCTTACAGCTGCATAGTATTTCATTGTGTATATGTACCACAGCTTTTTTATCCACTCATCCACTGATGGACACTTGGGCTGTTTCCAGATCTTAGCTATTGTAAATAGTGCTGCTATGAACATAGGGGTACATACATTCTTTTTGATTGGTGTTTCAGGCTTCTTAGGGTATATTCCTAGAAGTGGGATCACTGGGTCAAATAGCAGTTCAATTTTTAATTTTTTGAGGTAACACCATAGTGTTTTCCATAGTGGCTGCACCAGTCTGCATTCCCACCAGCAGTGCACTAGAGTCCCCTTTTCTCCACACCCTCACCAGCACTTGTTGTTTGATGATTTGTTGATGGCAGCCAATGATACCTCGTTGTTTTAATTTGCATCCCTCTGATGACTAGTGATGTTGAACATTTTTTCATATGTGTCTTGTCCATTTGTATGTCCTTTTTGGAGAGGTGTCTCTTTCGGTCCTCTGCTCATTTTTTAATTGGGTTCTTTGTGTTTCTTTTGTTAAGTTGTATGAGTACTCTATATATTTTGGAAATTAACCCCTTATTTGATCTGTCATTGGCAATTATGGTCTCCCATTTAGTGGGATCCCTTTCCATTTTGATGGTTGTTTTTTTTGTGTGCAGAAGCTTTTTAGTTTGATGTAGTCCTATTTTGTGCTTTTAATTTAGTATCCCTTTTTATTCTTCCTTTTTCTTTATCCCTGCCTTCTATTGGATTAATAAAATTATCTGAATTTTCTCATTTTCTACTGCTGGTTTGAGGGCTTTACACTTTATTTCTTTTCAGATTTGTCTTTTCTTTTCTAACATACCTGCTTATATTTTTTAAACAAAGTTATGATATAACTTTTTCTTCCTACAAAAGAGCTTGTCATACCTTATCCATTTAACAGCCCTCCCCTTTCCCATCTTGCCATCATTGTCTGGAGATTTTTATATTTTATTTTATTTTATTTTATTTTATTTTATTTTTCTCACCCTAGGACATTTTTGCATTTGTCTTCAGATAGAGCTGGAGGGAGAGAGGGAAGAAGAGAGAGAGAAACATCGAAGTGTGAGAGAGACACATTGAGTGGCTGCCACCCAGAGGAGCCCAACCAAGGCCAGGGACAAACTGCAACCAAGGTGCGTGCCCTTAGCGGAACTGAACCCAGGACTCTCTGGTCCATGGGCTGACGCTCTAACCACTGAGCAAAACCAGCCAGGGCAAGATTTTTACTTTTTTAATTTAAAATTTATTTTTATAGTCAAGAGTTAAACTTACTGACATTTTACCAATTTTTGTACTCACTACAATTTTTTCTTGAATCCAAAGTCTTCCCTTTGGGTTCATTTTTCTTCTAGCTGAAGTTCATCCTTTAATAGTTCTTTCTGTAGGGGTCTCAGAGGGGGAGAAAATTCTTTGTATATTTTTAAATGTTTTCATTTTGCCCTCACTGTTGGGTGATCATTTATCTGGGTATAAAATTTTAGTGAATGGTTACTTTCTCATAGCACAATGATGCTAGTACTCCATTTTCTTCTGGAACTAATTACTGCTAGTAAAAATTCTACTGCTAATCTGATTTTCATCTCTTTTGTTGATAATCTACCTTTTCTTTTGATAGCATTTAATGTTCAAGTTTTTTGTTTGTGTTTTTATATTCACTAGAACTCTCTAGATTTTAGTATACTTTTTATTATGAACTCATGTGCTCTTTTTAATTCTGGAGTTATCAGTGATATTATCTGCAAATACAGCTTCTCAAATATCCATTCTCTTTTCTCAAACTGCTATTAGGTGAGTAAGGAAGCCTTTCCATCTTGGAATGTTTTTTAAAAATTCTTTATTGTCTCTATGTTGTATCCTGGTGAATTTCTTAATACTGTCTTACTATTTGCCAATCCTCTAAATAATTTGTCCAGTCCAGAGTTTTTTTATTTATGAAGGTTTAGAATTTCAATAATTATATTTTTTATTTCTAGGATTGCTATTCTTATTTTCTTTCTGTCTGATGTTGATGACTTTTACATTTTTACAACTTTATTAAAGTATAATTTGCATACCATAATATTCACTTATTTAAGTTTACAATTCAATATTCAATATTTTTAAGTAAATTTACAGAATTTTTGCACCATAACCATAATCCAGTATTAGGAAATTTCTATCAACCCAAAGAAATCGGTCCTTTGTACCCATTTGTGGTTAGTCAGTTTCCATTCTCACCCCAATGCCAGGCAGCCATTAATGTATTTTCTGTCTCAATATATTTGTCTTTTCCAGACAGTTCGTATCAATAAAATGATACACTAGGTGCTATTTATATCTGGCTCTTTTATTTAGTGGCGAAATCTTAGCATAATGTTTCTGGGGTTCATCCATGCTGTAGCGTATACCATTCATTTCTTCCTTTTTCATTGTCCCATGGTATGGATATACCACATTGTGATCATTCACTCACCAGCTGACAGACATTTGAGATTGGGGTTATTTTCACTTTGGGGCTGTTATAAATATTGCTGCTAAAATTATTACATTCCTGTGCAAATCTTTGTGTAGACATAAAGTTTCAATACTCTTGGGTAAATAGATACCTAGGAATGGAATTGTTGGGTAAATTTATAAGAAACTGCCAAACTATTTTCT